TGTGGAATGTATAAATACCTCTGTTGTCCTACAATAAAAGGCTCCCACTCCTGCTGTATCAATGTATACAAGTTGCTCGTGTCCACCCCCCCCCCCCGCCGGTTATTTTACTGCAGCCGGACTGCGGCAGTTGTCTTATGTTTAATTAGTTATACATGACAGCAGAATGCATTTCGACTAATTGTACACAAATAGAGCACAACTCCTCATTTCTCTGGTTGTACTTCATGCACAGTCACACCATTTGTGCAATCACACATGTACACAGGGTAATAATGTTTGTCTCATTCTTCCATGCTTCCCACCCACATACCCCTTCCCCTCCCCTTTCTCCCCTTTGCCCAGTCCTAAGTTCCTCTGTTCTTCTCTTGCTTGTGCCCTCCCCCTACCCTTCATTTCCATTATGGATCAGCATCCACTTATCAGAGAAAACATTTGGCCTTTGGGTTCTGGGTATTGGTTTTCTTTGCTTAGCATGATATTCTCCAACTCCATCCATTTACCTGCAAATGCCATAATTTCATTCTTCTTTAAGACTGAGTAATATTCCATTGTGTATATATATCACAGTTTCTTTATCCATTCAGATATTGAAGGGCATCTAGGTTGGTTCCACAGTTTAGTTATTGTGAATTGAGCTGCTGTAAATATTGATGTGGTTGCGGCACTGTAGTATTCTGATTTTAAGTTCTTTGGGTATAGACTGAGGAGTGGGATAGCTGGGTCAAATGCTGGTTCCATTGCAAGTTTTCTAAGGAATCTCCATACTGCTTTCCAGAGTGATTGCACCAACTTGCAGTCCTACCAGCAATGTATGAGTGTACTTTTCCCCCCACATCCTCACCAACACTTATGGTTTCTTGTATTTTTTTTGGCGGTGGGTATTGAACTCAGGGGCATTAAAAGACCACTAAGCTGTATTCCCAGCTCTATTTTGTATTTCATTTAGAGACCAGAGTCTCACTGAGTTGCTTAATGTCTTGCCATTGCTGAGGCTGTGTTTAAACTCCAGATCTTCCTGCCTCAGCCTCCTGAGCTGCTGGAATTACAGATGTAGGCCAATGTGCCTGCTTATATTCTTAATAATTGCCATTCTGACTGGAGTGAGATGAAATCTTAGAGCAGTTTTGATTTGCGTTTCTCTAAGTGCTAGAAATGTTGAACATTTTTTCATATATTTGTTGATTGAGTGTATATCTTTCTCTGTGAAGTGTCTGCTTAGTTCCTTAGCCCTTTTATTGATTGGGTCATTTGTTTTTTTGGTAGCTTTTTTAGTTCTTTATATATCCTGGAGATTAGTGCTCTATCTGATGTGCACGTGGTAAAGATTTTCTAACTTCTAGAACTAATAAGTTAATTCAGCACAGTAGCAGGATATAAAATAAATAAACACACATAAATCAAATGCATTTCTATACATCAGTGATGAATCCTCTGAAAGAGAAATTAGGAAAACTACTCCATTTACAATAGCCTCGAAAAAAAAATACTTGGTAATCAATCTAACAAAAGAGGTGAAAGACCTCTATAATGAAAACTATAGAAGACTAAAGAAAGAAATTAAAGATGACCATAAGATGGAGAGATCTCCCAATGTTCTTGGATAGGCAGAATTAATATTGTCAAAATGGCCACACTACCAAGTGTTATACAGATTTAAGGCAATTCCAATTAAAATCCCAATGATATTCCTCATTAGAAATAGAAAAAGTTTCTAGTTTGATCCCCAGAACCACAAAAGTAAATAAATAAACAAAAAATAAAGTACATAAAAGAAGAAATGTATATGTACACAAAACAATCAATATTATTATTATTGTTGTTGTCATTGTTATTTCTGCTGCATGGGGATGGAGCCCAGAACCTTGCACATACTACACCTCTAATCCTACATTATGTTTAATGTTTGCATAACATTCCATTGCATAGAGGTATCATACTTTATTCAAAACAAATTGTTCAATGTTTAGATTATTTCAAAATTTTCTGTATTGAAAAGGATATTTACCTGCCTATTTACTTAGAATAATTCCAAGAGTGGTATTTCAGGATCAAGGAGAATAAGCTTAAGTGTTAATTCACATTATCAAACTGCTTTTGTATTCCTCACCGGAGTGTCTAAGAGTGCTGACTTACTAAATATTTGCCAGCATGGGGTGTGATGGTTTATTTAATTTTTGATAATCTCCTTTGGAGAAAATATCTCTGCTTTCATTGTGGTTTTAAGTTGCATTCCCCCCTCCCATTTTGTTTGTAGTTAACAAATTGCTTTTCACTTCCTTTACCTATTTTTTTCTATTGAAATATATATTTACAAGTATATTAATATTGAACATTCAAAGCAGCTCAGGGACTCAGAAGGATGTTGAATGTTCAGTATTAATTCCCCAAACTCCTATTTTTTTTCCAGCCACCTTACTGAGAAGCTGCCTACCTGCTTTCTTGGTTTCATGTCCCAGAGCAGCCTGGATAGCAATCTCCTCTACTAGTATTCCTATCATTAAAAGAAAACTTCAAATATTGAAGGAAGGGATTGCTGTGTGCCAAGTAAGAACCTTTGTTCTTACAGAATGTATGTTTTAGTAGGGAGAGATGTTTATACATAATAACCATAACAAATTGCAGGGGCAAGGATAAGACTCTTGAGAATACTTGAAGGAGCTGAGGAATGTAGCTCTATGGAGTCTGGATGCAGTAGATTTTAAGTGGAGGAAACTGCTGGTTCAAAGACCTAAGATGTTCAACACCTTGCATGAGAAAAAGAAATAACAATGAAAGAACTTGCATGGAGTTATGGTTCTTGGATAGAAAGATTCCTAATCCATAATCCATGACTTATGGATTAAAGATTCCATAATCCATGAATTATGTTTGATTCCTAATAAATGAAAAGAATGTTTTTTAGAACTTGAAAAAATTCAGAATTCCATCTTAAAAAAATAACACGAGCCAGTAGTCACAAAACTTTTGAAAGAGAAAGTATCAAAGATAAATAAACTATTCCAGATAAAAATATATTATAATGCTACAATGATTTGTCTATTAGTCAGCTAATGTCACGTGTGATGAGCACTCATGGCCTACTTTTATCTTTTCTATTAGAATCTTCTAACAGTTCAGCTAGACATAGAGAAGGTGCAGAGTACCTGCAATGTATGCAATGATAAAAACCAGAATAGATGCATTGGGGGATGCGGGAGATGGGAACATAGTGTCCCCAGATGGTCTGAGACTAGTAGGAAACTGACTACAAGGACAGGACAGCAGACCTATTTCCAGGACCAATGACTTGATAAGAACTATACTAGTCTGCTTTTTGTTATTTGTGATACTGGGGATGGAACCCAGGACCTCAAGCATGCCAGCCAGACATTCTACCACTGGGCTACACCCCAGACCCCAGACAAGTTATTTATGAGAATTATTTCTAAACCTTATAAAAGTGTGATTATCTCTATTTTATAGATGAGGAAACTGAAGTTCAGATGCCACAGAACACTCTGGAGTACCCAGAGGACACACTAATTCTGGAAGTCTTTTATTCCTTAATTGAGTTCTAAGCACCAATTTGGGATAGAAAGTTGTATATGGCATTAGGGTTTTGCCATTCACGTGATGCTTGCATGTCTATTATGTTGTTCCCTGGGGACTTCCTGTGGCCATGAAGAAAAACTAACATAGTCAATGACTGCTTGATTAACAGGGTGGCCTGAGTCCTGCCCAGCTTCTATCTCAAGTGAAGTGCCTTCATTGTACTTCACCCAGAGGATAAGGGCAGGGCTCCCCTGAGGAACTGGGAGCCTTGCAAGTTGGGTGAGTGGGACAGTTTGTCTTATTGTCAGCATCTATAAAATGGGGACAATAATGGAATCTGCCTGAGTGTGTTAGTTTCTCAGGGCTTCTGAAACAAATTACCACTAACTTGTGGATCTAAGACAAAAATTTATTCATTCATTGTCCTGGAGGCTCCAAACCCAAAAGCAGTTTCACTGGCTCACAATCCAAGTGTGCATAGGGCTGCTCCAAGGGCTAGGGGAGACTCTCTTCTTGCCTCTTCCTATTTCTGGCGGCTGCTGGCATCCTCGGTTTGGGGCTGCCACACTCCGACCTCTGCCTCCCACTTATAAGAACACATGTGATTACACTGATAGCCCATCTTGATAATCTTAGGATAATCTCTCCATCTCAAAATTCTTAATCTACCAAGGCCCGATTCCATATAAAGTAACATTTACAGGCTCCAGGGATTAGAGCCCGATATTTTTGTAATCTTTCAATTACACTCGGGGTTGTTTTAAAGAGGAAATCTTCTATTGCTGGCCGAGGGATGAGCACAGCACCCGACAGCAGACAGCATTAATAAATAGCATATTTCCTCTTCTAAAAAGAGGTCTCTGACAATACTTTTCCACCAGAAGTGGCCGCTGCCAGATATTAAGCCCTTATAAGGTACTGCATTTATAAGGGCTTAAAAAATAAAATTAAGGCGTGTTTACAACACCCCTTCCGCAAAAAAAAAAAAAAAGTAAATAATAAAACAAAACCTTGTATTTACACATCCTTCCATCTAGGAAGTCAGACCCTGCGCTCCTTCTTTTCCAACCCTCAGAAGTTTCTGCAACCGCAGAGCCTGCTCGTCTCGACATCCGCCCCTTCTAGCCCAGCCTTTCTAGGCAACCGCCCCTCTCTCGCCCCGCCCACTGAATTTGGCGACCCTCGTTCTAGCACGTTAGATCCGGGACCTTGAGGTCTGTCCATTCTATTGCCTATCAAATCCTAGCCAACTCTATTCAATTATGTCTCCTTACCAAGCGTTTAAGTCATTGAAAAAAAATAGACAGAGTTAATCATCCTAATGGTGGCAATCTCATTGTACTCATGTACAAAAAAACGGAGAAAAAATTGTCGTCTGTAGACTGGCTATATTTATGACAGCCTGCCTGAGAAGTCCCGGGTCCTACGCTCCTGGGACGCCCAGGCCTGGTCCGCTCCGCGCGCAGGCGCAGTGGGCCCGACTCGCCATGCCGACTGTCAGCGTGAAGCGCGATCTGCTCTTCAAAGCTTTGGGACAGACCTACAGTGAGTGGGCTCCGCGCCTTTCCTCGGGGGCTGGGACGCCCTCCAAAAGGGCGTTGTGGCAGCACTGAAGGTGCCCTTCACCTTTTGGCCTTGAGGACGGTCAGGGTCCACAGGGAAGGCTGCATAGCAAGCGGCTCGGCTGCTCGGAGGGAGCTTGTCGCGAGCGGCTTCACCGCGCGTGTGTCACCCGCACGTGCCCAGCTCTCAGTGTCATTCGGTCACTATCGGCATCAAGTGCCTTCTGCGTGCCTAGCCCCGACTTTGGTGCCCCCGTACAGAATAAGAGGATCCCCTGGATTCGCCCCGAGCGTGGGCACGGCAGTGCGCTGTTTGACTCGGCTTGTGAAGGGGCGGGAGGAGTTTGAGCAGAAGAGAGGGGACGGCATGGCCATCGGGCTCCGTTTTGTTAGATGCTTCCAGAATGGCTCTTAGTGTCAGGCAGTGTTCTAAGATTTGGGGAGTACAGTTGTGCCCATGGCACTGAAGGTCCACGTTCTTGCTCTGATGAACAGGGCGGACAGCAACTAACCAGCACCCTAATAAAATGGTTCTGGATAATGTTAAGTGCTATCAGGGAAAGAAAAGTAGGTGATGTGCTGGGAACAGCATTTGAAAAGGTTGGTAGCACTGAGTTGGGGCCTGGATGATGAATATGTGGGATGGATTTATTCTTCACGCTGTACTTCATCCTTTCCTCAGTTCCCAAAACACCACCATTAAACACACAGAGGGGAAATGTTAAGTAAGTTATCAGTTGCCACACAGCTGTATGAGTCAAAATGATATTTTCCTCACCCCGTAGTTATCAGTGTGTGTAGAGGCCACAGCAAGCAATTTGTGAGACCTGTTTTTTGTTTGTTTGGTATTAAATGTCAAGATGATAACAAAGCTCCAGTCAGGTGCAGTTTCTTAGAATAAGAGATTACCATTACTGTGAAAATAGAGTTAGCTTTTAAAAAAAACTTCTGAATAAGCCAGGTGTGGTACATGCCTGCAATCTCAGTGAGTCTGGAGGCTGACACAGGAGGATTGCAAGTTTGATAAACATTGCAATTTAGTGAGGCCCTAAGCAATGTAGCAAGACCCTATCTTTAACAAAACAAACAAAAACTTTCTGAAGGGGTACTTTTATTATTGTTGGTGTTGTTTTGTGTGTGTGTGTGTGTGATACCGGGAATTGAACTCAGGGCTGCTCCACCACTGAACTACATCTCCAGCCTTATTTATTTATTTAATTTTGAGACTGGGTCTCTTTAAAGTGCCAAGGCTAGCCTTGTGATCCTGCCTCAGCCTCCTGAATTGCTGAAATTACAGCCATGTGCCATCTTGCTAGGCTGAAGGAGTACCTTTAGATATTACCTACTCTGGAAGTGTTATTCTCCATAGGTTCTGTTCCAAGTCCTGGAAAGTAGAGGTAATACCCTCACACTTTGAACTCGACTCTTAATTCTTTAACCACTTTTTATAATATAAAATTCTTTTTTATATATTGTATATTTCTAATCCACAGTTTCACTAGTAGTGTGTGATATATCTGAATGAATGGCACAAGATGGTAGGTGGCAAATATTTGTTTTAAACATCTATAATCAGTTCCCAGCCAGATCTCCATCTTGGGAAAGTAAGTTTTTTTTTTTTTATAACCTATTTACTACCATCCAGTTTTTTTTGCCATATTCTCTACCCCTCCCCACTCTTTTCTCATATTGTGAATGATCAGGTAAGCTTGATTTTTTTTTTTTTTTTTTTGGTTCCACAGAGAATATTTATTAGCTACTGGGTCTTTAAAAAAATTTGACAATAAATATTGGTGTTTTTGAGATGTACTTCAAATGAGTTAGGAATAATATCTATCATTAATTTATATTGTGTTCTTTCTTGAAACTTTAAGTATCAATTGGGTTGAGGTCAGAGTTTGAAAACATGTTTAGCAAAGCATCTGGTTTCCAAATAACGTAGGCCCATCTTGTTTCTTCTTCTTTTTTTTTTTTTTTTGCGTTTTCCTCTTTTACATGTTTTCTTGGATAATGTCTTCTTCACACTTTTCCTACATTCTTCTCTTTTTTTTCAGTTCCTCCCAAGACTATCTTCTATCTGAATTCTGTAGTTTCTTCCAGTTGCAAACATCCCCTTCCGGGTATGTTTTCTAGTCAAGAATGCTTCTCTCTTGGCTGTTTTGTTAATCTGGTCCTTGGTTCCTCTGTCTACTTTGGAGCAGTTTTATCTTCTTAGTCTGCCTTTTTATTGCTCAAATAGTTTCCTGTGTCACATACATGCCCGTTAACTGATTTGTTATCACTGGTCTTCAATTCTGGCCCTATTTTGGCTTGGAGTAATGGTTGGCAATATTGCCAGAACCATCTGTGTGTTACTTAGATGTCATTTTGTTGGAAGAAATTATTAGACGTGATTTTATTGTTTTATTTTCTTTTGTATTTAAACCCATGAAATACAGCTGAATAATTTTAATAGTTATATGCAATTTGGTTAATAACCATTTAGTTGTCCATTACTATATAATAAATACCTCAAAAACTTAGCATCTTAGAACAATAATCATTTGTTATTTTGTGTGGTTTCTTATGGTCAAGAACTGGGGAGTGGTGGTTCTGGCTCTGGATCTCACCAGGTTGTGGTCAAGGTATTGGCCAGATCTGTAGTCATCTCAAGGCCTCACTGGGGCTGGAGATTCTGCTTCCAAGTTTGCCTAACTGCTTGTTGGTAGCTCTTAATTCCTTGCTGATGTTTGGCTAGAGACTTTATTTCCTTTCACTTTGACTTTTCTATAGGACTGCTTATAACATGTTAGTTTGTTCATCCCAAAGTGAGAGGCCTGAGAGAGCAGATAAATGGGAGAGTGCTTAAGCAGAAACCTCAGTTTTTAATAATGGCTTGGAAGTGATATACTGTCCCTTTTCATATTCACTTGGTCACACAGACTAATCCTGACCCTGTGTGGGAGTATTTAAGGAGGTGGGTATCATTGGTGGCCTTCTTGATAGCTGATGACTATAGTCTTCCGCCTGGCCCACAGTAATTCATGTTCTCCTACATGCAGAAGAGTTAGTACCACAAATGTCATCTAATTTCAGCAGCTGCTCAAAAATCCAAAGTATCATCATCTGAGTATAGCTCCTGAAGTTCAGTTTATTCTGGCCTGAGAGACTCAACAGCCAAGTTATCTGACATACAATAGTGGGACAGGTGAAGGATAGCTACTATAGCCATTCCTCTTCAAAAGGGGAAAAAATAGAAGAGCCAAAGTCTCTAGTCTATGGTAATTCTGAAATCAAATGGCAAATGTTCAATGTTCTTGATTAGGTCTCAGGACTTGGGATAATTCTCTCCATGACTCTGTGCTCTTGGCTCTTGGTTCTACCCATTGATTCCCAGAAAGCATTTGCTTCACAGCTGATTAATTTTCTCAGTCTACATCCTCTAATAGAATTTTGAGGGTCAGATACTTCTATTTTGTGTCATGTATGCCTCTTTCAGTTTAAGCTGGCAATGTTTCTGTTTGTACATTTCTTCTAAAAACTTTATGGATCTTTAGTGAATTTTCCTGGCTTCCATTTCATTAGTCAAAAGCTTTACCATCTGCAAATCTCTGTACTTTGGACTTTGCTTCATACAATGTTCTTAATTAAGATCTATTGTGTGATTAATTGGATTTCTGAGGCACACCCTTAATTTCTTTAAAGCACCTTTTGTTTGAATGAATTGTGCCTTTGATTTTTCTAACTCTTTAAAATTTTTCAGTCATGCTCTTAATTCTATCTTATGCCTTAGGTTTGCTCTTTGCTTAGAAATTTTTAAATCTTTTTTTTCTTTTTCACACTGGGTATTAAATCCAGGGGCATTCTGTTGCTGAACTACATCCTCAGCCCTTTTTATTTTGTATTTTGAAATAGGGTCACATTAAGTTGCCCTGGCTGGCCTCAAATTTGTGATCATCTTTCCTTAGCCTCCCAAGTTGCTGGGATTATGGGCAGGTGCCTCTGCACTTGGCAGAAGATATTTCTTAATTGTAGCATTGTTTTACATCTGAGAGGTTGAACTTTTTTGGTGGGGGGGTGGGTACTAAGGATTGCACTCAGGATACTTTACCGCTGAGCTACATGTCTAGCCGTTTTTAAAATAATTTTTAAAAATTTTGAGACAAGATGTCTGTTTTAGTCACCTTTGTGTCACTGTGACCAAAATACTCTACAAGGATAACTTAGAGGAGGAAATGTCTATTTTGGTTCATGATTTCAGCGGTTCAGTCCATATGTTGACTGCATTGCTCTAGGCCTGAGGTGAAGCGAGCATCATGGTGGAAGGTTGTGGCAGAGCAGCTCAGGACATGGCACTAGGAAGCAGAGGGAGAGCTCTGCTCACCAAAGACAAAAATACAAAGCCTAAAGACATGCCCCTAGTGACCTACTTCCTCCAGCCACACCCTACCTGCCTATAGTTATCACTCGGTTAATCCAAAGGTAAAGCTTTTATAATTTAATCATTCCAACTTTGAAAATTCTTGCATTTTCTAACAAGTTAGCTTTTGGGGGACAAAAGCTAAACTCTAACGATGTCTAACATGCAACCCTCCTGCCCCAGCCTCCCAAGTAGCTGGGATCATAGGCTTGCACCACTGTGCCCAGCTGAGGCTGAGCATTTTAAAAATCATCAACATCCTGACTCCGTTTTGTTTAACATTCCTTCCTTTAGTTTATCCCTTCTCTCACATGAGCAGCAAGAAAAAAAAAAAATCAGACTGCACTTTAAGCACTCATTGAAAATCTTAAGTCACTTAGTAAATGGTCTACATTAATTGCAGGCTGGTGTTTTTAAACTTTATGCTTCTACATAACAGGATTTCCCTTCTTCTGCTTTCTAGTAGCACTCTCTTTTGCATCCTCACCTGCCTTTTGATCAGTAGCATCTTGAAGGCCCTTAGGTTTTCATTACAGTACTCAAAGCCTGCTGTCTGGTTCCAAAGCCCTCCAGAGTTTGGTTTTTGTTACAGCAGCACTGCACCTCTAGGGAGGTGTGTGTTAATGATCTATTGGTACATAATAATTTACGCCAGCACTGTGAGTGTGAGACAGTGTACCATTATTACTTCACACAGTTTCTGAGAAGCAAGAATCAGAGTGGCTTAGCTGGGTGCTTCTGGCTGTAAATCTCACCAGGTTGCAGTCACGCTGTCAAATGGAGCTGCATTCTTCTCAAGGTTTAGCAGAACCAGAGAATCTGCTTCCATTGCATCTGACCTAAGTTCACACAGGGGCTTGATACTAGGAGGCTGAATCATCGGGTGCCATCTTGGGGGCTGGTTACCTCTCTTACTACCTACACTAGTTAATGAGGCCTTTTTTCCCCTAAAACCAGAGATTTGGGAGTCATCCTGGACATCCTGGCTGTCCCACCTTCCTTCAGTCAACCATTAAGCCTTACACATTTTGCCTCATTAACATTTCTCATGTTCATTCCTTCTCCTTCATACTCATGCTGCTGGGAAGACTCCCTGCTACAATCATCCTCTACCCTTCCACCTGTTTTTAAAATGCAGATCGAGGGCTGGGGATGTACCTCAGTGGTAGGATGCTTGCCCAGCGTCTGAGAGACTCAGAGTTCCGTCCTCACTGGAGAAAGAAAACAAAAGCAGATCCAATTATGTTTTTGCCCAGCTAAAAACTCCTTCATTGTAATGCCATTGCTTGTAGGTAGGACAGGGGGCAAATCTCGTGGTATGTCATGAATTACACTCTTTCTCCTTTTTCTATTTCTTCTTTAAATATCAGTTCACATTTAATAGTTAAACATCATTAATTTCCAGTATACAAAGTAACTAGCCATTAAGCAAATATAAAAATGTTACAGGTAAGATGTTAAGAAGATGCATACAAGACTTTTTTTTAAAAAGCCATAGTTAAAAAGTAGTGGTTAACTGTCCACATGTTCTCTAGAAAGAAGTATTATCCAAATTCTTGCATATTAAGATGCATTTTTGGTTATCCTTTCAGACACACCCATCCATTCCCCAATTTTCCTGTAAATCCATTCATTAATAGACATATTATATTGAGTGCATATTTTCAACATAGACTGTTTTTGGTTTGCCGATTAGAGCTGAACAAAGTAGACTGGGTTCCCACTGACTTGGAGCTTATGGCTTCATTATTTAAACATAACCCTGCACACATTTACAACACCTGACACCTGCCTATAGTGCAGACTTTCAGAGGTGAAATGCTGGATTTAAGCCATAGATTCAGGTCTTTATAAATGTGTCTTAGATACTAATAACAGAATTAGACTGCTAGCAGTATCACAGATTTTGTTGCTTTGGGACAAAATGTCCTGAAAGAACTATAACTCTGATTTTTTAAAATTTAATTTAATTTTTTACACAGATGGAGCCCAGTGTTTCATTTCTCTGGTTGTACATAATGTCTATCTTATTCCAACATCTTCCCCCACTACACATACACCCTCTCATCCCCTCTCTCTCCTCTGGCCAATCCTAAATTCCTCCATTCTTTCCTTGCCCCTCCACCCCCATTATGGATCAGCATTCATCAAAGAAAACATTTGGCCTTTGTTTTTTTGGGATCAGTTTGCTTCGTTTAGCATGATATTCTCCAACTCCATCCATTTACCTGCAAATGCCATAATTTCATTCTTCTTTAAGGCTGAGTAATATTCCATTGTGTATATATACCACAGTTTCTTTATACATTCATCTATAAGGGGCATCTAGATTGGTTCCACAGTTTAGCTATTGTGAATTGAGCTGCTATAAACATTGATATGACTGCATCACTGTAGTACATCACTGTAGTACACTGTAGATTTTCCTTTGGGTGTAGACTGAGGAGTAGGAGAGCTGGGTCAAATGCTGGTTCCATTCCAAGTTTTCTAAGGAATCCCCATACTGCTTTCCATAGTGACTGCACCAATTTGTAGTCCCACCAGCAATGAATCAGTGTTTCTTTTTTCCCACATCCTTGCCAGCACTCATTGTTGCTTGAATTCTTTTTTATTTATTTTTTACTTGTAGGTGGACATAATATCTTTATTTCAGTTTTATGTGGTGCTGAGGATCCAACCCAGTGCCTCACATGTGTAGGGAAGCTCTCTACCACTGAACCACAACCCCAGTCCCTTGAATTCTTGATAATTGCCATTCTAACTGGAATGAGATGAAATCTTAGGGTAGTTTTGATTTGCATTTCTCTAATTGCCGGAGATGTTGAACATTTTTTCATATATTTGTTGATCGATTGTAATCTTCTGTGAAGTGTCTTCCCAGTTCCTTAGCCCATTTTTTGTTTGGGTTCTTTATTTCTTTGGTGTTAAGTTTTTTTTTTTTTTTTTTTTTTTTTATTTTTTTTATATCCTGGAGATTAGTGCTGTATCAGATGTCTGTGTGTGGTAAAGATTTTCTCCATTTTCATTGGCTCTCTCTTCACATTATTGTTTCTTTTGCTGTAAAGAAGCTTTTTAGTTTGAATCCATCTCACTTATTGATTCTTGATTTACTTCTTGTGCTTTAGGAGTCTTGTTTAGGAAGTTAGGTCTTAGGCTGACATGATGAAGATTTTGCCTACTTTTTCTTCTGTTAGGAGAAGATTCTCTGGACTAATTCCTAGGTCCTTGATCCACTGTGAGTTGAGTTTTGTGCATGGTGGAGATAGAAGTTTAATTTCATTTTGCTGCATATGGATTTCCAGTTCTCCCAGCACCATTTGTTGAAGAGTCTCTTTTTTCTAATGTATGTTTTTGACACCTCTGTAACTCTGATTTTAAAACAGAAAATTAGGTCAGGTACAGAAACTTCTTTTGAGAAGCTCAGGGAATGAAAAATATTTGTTTTTTATAATACACAATAAAACTGCCGTGGCACCTGTACCTTCCATAAATATACTGTAGAAAATAACTCTGAACACATGAACGTGTTCTCCACTTATCTGGTTTCTTTTGGAAATTCTCATTGTCTTTTCTTCTTTAGTTCCCCTGGTTTCCTGGTTTTTGTTCTCAGAACTTTTGTTACTTCTTTGCTATCTGTGCTGGCTTCCTTCTATTCTCAGTGTTCTGGAAACATGGCCCTGACCCAGAGGGAGTGACAGCACAGTGAAGGGATATTGACCTTTCTTTTTCTTTCTCGTTTTGCTTGAAGAAGCAAAACAAAAGTCTTTATGTTAGTAGAAAGACATTGTTTATTTTTAGCAAGTTATTGGTGGTGGAAATTTTGGGAAAGATTTGGCTTCTTTAGATGAGTATCCACTTTCTTAGTCACCTTACTTCTTTAGCCAAATCAAACACGTGGGTGATTTTTAACTTTTTCAGTTCTTTAGGTCTCTCTAGTTCTTCTGCTTTGATCAGCAGTTTACCTGATCCCATTTCTTCAGTCTCCTCTGCCGTCTTAACTGTACAGGGCAGTTCTAATTTTGGTCTGGTGTCATTGAGGAAGCTGGCCCAGAGCTCATCCTCCTTTTTTCATGCATATGCTGACCCAGTACACTTTTGATTTCTTCGCTAGACTAAAAAGTAGTGAAGTATTTATCTTTGTAGCTCTGCATTTAAGTGCCTGCCATATAGTAGTTGCTCAATAAATATTTATTAAGTTGAAGTTCAGTGTCTGGATTAGATTAATCTTTTTTTTCACCTCCTGATGCTGGCAATTGAATTTAGGGCATGGCACATGCTAAGAATACACTCTTCCACTGAGCTTTACATCTGTTCCATAGTCAGGAATCTTAAGACAGCTTTTCACTAGAACGTACTGGTAGATAGTTTGTTTTCCATTTTTTTGTTTGTTTTTTGGGACCAGGGATTGAGCTCAGGGGCACTTGACCACTGAGCCACATCCTCAGCCCTGTTTTGTATTTTATTTAGAGACAGGGTCTCACTGAGTTGTTTAGTGCCTCACTTCTTGCTGAGGCTGGCTCTGGACACACAATCCTCCTGTCTCAGTCTCCCGAGCCACTGGGATTACAGTTGTGTGACACTGTGCCCAGCTTGTGTTCAGTTTTTGATCATGTGAAAACTCTGAAAATGCTGTATTAGGTATCAAAGAAAGTGGAATAAGGAAGGAAAATATTAGTGTAGACACACTGTGTTTCAGGATATATGCCCACTCCATTATCTGCCTGATGTCATTTAAATCTTTGTAACAGTTTCATGTTAAAAATAACTGTAAAAGGTCACTTTATGGATGAGATATTGGTAAAGTTTATAATAGGTGCCAGGAATATTTATAAAAGATACAAAGCTCCCACAGCTAATAAGTGGGATAATCAGAATTCTAAACCCTGATTGGCTTGGCTGTGAAGTCAAGTGTCTGATGGCCTCAGAGAATTTTAAAGGATAACTGGGCTTATGTGATGTTCTATTGTGTAGGATTGGTGGCTTGGAGCCTACCTTATATTTGATCTCTATTTAGTAGGTTGTTGTTTTTTTCCTTGTATCTTTGTAAACTTCCCAACACTGGTAATCTAATCCTGTACCTGAGCAATTAGTCCTACAATAGTTTTTTTTTTTAAGCAAAACTTTTGATTGTTGTTGAATGATGATGTCTGATGTTTGATATTTAGTATGCTGAGTGTAAAAGGTAGTTATTAATAAGAAAATACAATTCATAGACAATTTTTATTGTGCTGAACAAATTAAAATTAATGGTCTCTTTTTTTCTTCTCAGCTGACGAAGAATTTGATGAACTATGTTTTGAATTTGGTCTGGAACTTGATGAAATTGTATGTATTAGATACTTATTTTTCAGATATTCTGATATGAGCTCATTTTTCTGAGGTTGCTTATCTTTGTTACCTTATAGTTAGACTATGATGATTCATCTGTGGACTGTGGTGTTTTTGATGTTCAGAGAAAATTACTTTGCCTCTCTAGTTCTCATATTTTAGACTCTGTTCAATTGTGAAGTAAGGAGTTTAGATTATATCATCTTGATACATCCCTCTTGCTCTCAAATTTAACTCAGTCTTCACATATGGTCTTTTTAAAAAAATGAATTAATTAATTTTGTTTGTGCAGAATTTATCATATAAGATACTGAAAATTGACATCATTATCCAAAGTACATGTATGAAGACATGAATCTGGTGCCAACCTACTTTATGTACAAATAGAGATATGAAAAATTGTGGTATATATGTGTAATAAGAATTGTAATGCAAAAAAAAAGTACATGTATAAAGACATGAATTGGCGTGAACATACTTTATACAAAGATATGAAAAACTGTGCTCTATACATGTAATAAGAATTGTAATACATTCTGCTGTCATGTATTTAAAAAAAAAGATACTGAAAATTGAAAGATTTAAGCTGTTCGCACGTATGTGCCCGTGTGGCCGCATACTGCAAAAGAATTAGGCCATTTTATATTCAGATACCTTCGTTTATCTGGTTCCTATATTATGGTGGTTTGAACTAGTCATGTGGTGGCTGTGGGAGGGCATCACATAAAACAAAAGTTTTTATGTTAATAGAAAGCCAATGTTTATTTTTAAACAAGTTATTAGTGGCGGAAATTTTGTGAATTCTTGTTAAGTGGATTTCTAAATAAAGGGTAACAATAACAGTTGGATGTAACATAATTATTTTGATTGAAAAATTTATATTTGAAATTCTCTGTTGTAGACACAGCAAATAGAAATATATTCTCTACTATAATGTGGTGAATAAGGTACTCTAAGCTTTGCCACTGCATTAAAATTGCCATCCTGTGATGTTCCTCCTCCTTCTCTTGGTTGCCTTCATTCTGCTGTCTTTACGGTGTATTTTTACTGTCACTAGATTGTACCTATTATGCTAATTCTCATTCATACCTTCTGATGATCACTTTCCTCCCCTGGAGATGTTTTTGTTTGCTTTTATATTATCAGTCATTCTCACATTTCTGCTGGGCTTGGGTGCCCAGAAGATTTCGATTTGGGGTTTTTGTTTTGATTTTTTGCAGTGCTGGGGATCAAACCCAGGGCTTCATGCATGCTAGGCAAATGCTTGACCACTAAACTATACCCTCAGCTCAGGATTTAGATTTGGAATGGAAGTTTTATTGTATAACAAGCTGTATTCTTTTTTTTTTTTTTTTCCTTCTCAGTACAGGGTATTGAACCCAGTTGTGCTATGAGCCACATCCCTAGCCCTCAGCTAAGTTGCTCAGACTGGCCTAGAACTTGCAATCTCCCTGCTTCAGTCTCTAGAGTTGCTGGGACTACAGTTGTGCCCTACTGCACCCAGCTAGAAATACATTCTTTTATTTGATGATTTATCTTTCTTTCTTTGACATTTTGGTTATTGCTCTGTGTTTCTTTCTTTGACACTTCCATTATTGCTCTTGGTGGTGCCTGTTCTTTTAGATGGAGATGGCAAACTTTTTCTGTAAAGGTACAGATAATAAATAAGTTAGGCTTTGGAGGTTATTATCTCAGTTATAATTCAGCTATTGTACTGTGTGATAACAGATAATATATAAATGAATGGGTCTGTCTTCCAGTGAAATTTTATTTGGAAAAGCAGGTGCTAGGCAGGAGTTGACTAGTGGGTATTTGTTGACATTTTCTTTAGGTGGATTTGTGCTGTTCTGGAATCACTGAGGATCCTATATGTCTGAACTGAATAGGAATTTGAGTATTTTTCTGTCAGCTCCAATTATAGCATTTAATATTTTAATGTCGTTTTTGTTGTAGATGTAATAAACCTATTGTTGAAGAGAGGAATGTGCATAATGTAGTTTTATTAACCTTTTCACTTTAATTTGGCTTGTTTTAGACGTCTGAAAAGGAAATAATAAGTAAGGAACAAGGTAATGTGAAGGCAGAGGGGGCCTCTGATGTTGTTCTTTACAAAATCGACGTTCCTGCCAATAGATATGATCTCCTGTGTCTGGAAGGATTGGTTCGAGGGCTTCAGGTCTTCAAAGAAAGGTAAAGAAATATATTCGTTAGGGTTCAGTGCCTCTTCTCCCTTTTATTCCCAAATTATTGTCAGCAGTTGTGTTTAAATCTCAAGAAACAATGTCTGAATACTTAGCTGTAGGTCAGCATAAAAGGAAGATTGAAGGATCAGATTCATGGAGATTGTAGCCATTTTAAAATTTACCTGAGTCATTGAATACTCATTTTGGAAATGCATTTGAAAATTGGGGCTAATGACTTTATAGCTTCTTAAAAAACTCCATAGGTTTGTGTGGTATACCCTACTAAATAATCTTTTTGGAAGGGGTAGTTCCTTGGATTTGCTAACATTTTGGAGGAAAAGTAGAGATGGCTGTTCATTATGTATCCTTTTGCCTTAAGAATTCTTAGGAAGCTCAGGAGTAGAACATCCTAACTGGAAAACCTTGATGGTTTATGATATGTATATGATTGGTATCTCGAGTTTCAATCTCCTAATCTATAATGAATAGGATTTATTTATTTATTTATACTATGGATTGAACCCAGGGGTGCTCAACCACTGAGCCACACCTTGATTGCCTTCATTCTGCTGCCTTTACAGTATATTTATATATTTACCTCGCCCTTTCTAGATTTTATTTTGAGACATGGTCTCACTAAATTGCTTAGGGCCTCACTAAATTGCGGAGGCTGGCTTTGAACTCACTATCTTCCTGCCTCAACCTCCCAAGATACTGGGATTACAGGTGTGAACCATCACATCTTGCTGAAGAAGACTTTTAAGGCCCTTTCTAATTCTGCATGTAACACTTAATTGAGTGTAATGAACATATAAAGTGAAAAGGGTAGAAGAAGTAGCTCTCAAACGTAATTATTTTTGGTTTTGATTACTTATACATAATCCATGAGTAACAAAAGAATAAGAGCTAGCTGTTGGGCTAGATTCTGAAATTATCATTGGGTGAACAATGGCTTTTTGTGAAATGATAATGATTGGTCATTTGATTAAGGTGGTTACATTTTTGGGGTTGAATAAATTGGTTCCATGCATGACAATCATATGCTTACATTTTAGGATATAAGGATAAAGGATAACCTTTCAGAGTGTTTCCCAACACATTGATCAGAGTCTGCACTTTTACTAGGCAACTTGTGTGCTTTTATTTTGTTTTGTTTTTTTGGTGGGGGATACTGGGGATTGAACTCAGGGGCACTTGGCCATTGAGCCACATCCCCAACCCTATTTTGTATTTTATTTAGAGATAGGGTCTCACCAAGTTGCTTAGCACCTTGCTGTTGTTGAGGCTGGCTTTGAACTCCCAAGCCTCCTGCCTCTGCCCCTGAGCCATTGGGTGCCTGGCTCTTATGTTTTTTTTATGAGACAAAATTAGGAACTACTTAAGACCTTTGCAACTTAAAGTATGGTCCATGGACCAGCAGCATCTGCATCATTGGGAGCTTGTTAGAAATGCAGATTCTTAGCTTCTATCCAAGATCCACTGAATCAAGTTCTGAGGTTTAACATACTCTTCAGTTGACTATATACACGTTGAAGGTTGAGAAGCACTGCCTTAAAACAGTAGTTTGTAATCTCCAATGGGAAAAATTATCTAGAAATGCTTTCAAAATGCACCAGTTACCCAAACTTTGTTTTGACTGTTCTGATTCAGTAAGTCTAAATAGACCCAGGGACTCTGTATTTTTAATAAGCTCTGTTTTTTTTTTCTTTGAGGCTTAGAATCTCATGATTGTGGTAAAAAAATAACTAGTCCCTTTAACAGTTGCTCTGTTAATGGTTTTATAGCCTTTGCTGGAACTCTAGTGATAGAAACTTGTTACTATTAGGCATCCAGAGACCTTTTTGAATAACCTAAAGTGTTAGAAAGTTTGTTAGTTTTTGTTTTCTTTTTTTCCTTTTTTAGCTTTTGCTTTCCTATTTTTAATATTTAACTGCTATAATTCATCTCCTCATTGCCTTAATTCTTTTGATTTTTGTAAACATTCTTTTTACTTAAAGCAAAGAATGTAATCAATTCATCAGATGTTTTCACTAATTACGAATAACTTTGTTTTATTATTAATTTTAGGATAAAAGCTCCAGTATATAAACGGGTAATGCCTAATGGAGAAATTCAAAAACTGGTTGTCACAGAAGAGGTAATAAGAAGAAATTAATATTTTCCCTTTCAAAAGAATCTCTTCTGTGTGTATAAGGTGGGGAAGACAAAGAAACAAATCTGATCCTTCTGTCAAATGTGATTTTTATGTGATCATATGTTTTTAGCCTTTAGCTCTTTAAAAAAATAATCAACTTATTACCAAGAAACAAAAGAAAACAAAGTACCTGTTTCCCATAAATGGTTTTGGAAAATGTCCAAATGCTTATATGAAACACATTTGAGGGCTAGTGTTGCTGTTCAGTGGTAGAGTGCTTGCTTATTAGCATGCACAAGGCTCAGGGTTTGATGCCCAGCACTGCAATCAATCAATAAACATTTGAGATATATTTAAATTATGATGTGTTACAAAAATTTTAAAGATAAAATGTGGGAGGTTTATCTTGGTAAAAATATAAACTTTGAGCAGTTTATTTTTATTTTCTATTTATTTGTTTGTTTATTTATTTTGTTACTGGGTGTTGAATCCAGGAATGCCTAACCACTGAATCATGTCTTCAGCCCTTTTTATTTTGAGTCAGGGTCTTGCCAAGTTGCTTAGGGCCTCTTTGCTTAGTTGCTGAGGTTGACCTTGAACTTGTGATCTTCCTGCCTCAGCCTTCTGAGTTCCTGGAATTTTAGACATGTGTCACCATGCCTAGCTGAGCAAATTATTTTTAAAAATTAGTTTTTTCTCAATTATTTAGTAAGTTTAAAAAATCTCACTAAAATGTAAATTCTGTGAGGTTAGTGATTTTGTCTCTTGCTTACCACTTTATTTTGCTCCTATTAATTGGTAAATGAATATACTTATTGGAGTATGCAGTTACCTGGCACTGTTAGGAGTATGCAGTTACCTTTCTATTATAAGATTATTACAAAGAAAAGCCTGAGTATTTACTATCTCTTGGTATTTTTAATTGCAGACAGCTAAAATACGCCCTTTTGCAGTCGCAGCAGTTCTCCGGAATATTAAGTTTACTAAAGATCGATATGACAGCTTCATTGAACTTCAAGAGAAATTACATCAGAATATTTGCAGGTTTCTTGTTTTGTCTTATTTCCTCCTTGCTTTTTCCTCTGTTCTGCTCCTCTCCTTCCCATTCCTTTCTGTCTCCCTTTTTCCTATTGTTCCTTTTACCTTTCCTCCCTCTGTCCATTTCCTTTTCTTCCTCTTGCATTTTTAAACTAATGGTATATGAGAGCTTACCTTTGCTTTCCGAGATAGATATTTGTTACTGTTTGTAAATGATACATGCATGGAGAAATAGTCAGTAAATTTTGAGAAGAATTATCTAGTCATGGACATTTTCTTGTTTTGTCATTGAAATCATTAATGGATTATACTGCTAAGTATTAGCTGTGGTAAACTATGGGCTAGCTTTTTTTGTTTTTTAAATGAGGTGATTTTTTTTTTTCTCTTTGTTAATTTGTTCTTTTTAGATATATATGACAGTAGAGTGTATTTTGACATACACTCAGTATAACTTATTCTAATTAGCCTCCTGTTCTTGTGGTTGTTCAGATGTGGAGTTTCACTGGTATTGTATTCATATATGAACATAGAAAAATTGTGTTCAATTCATTCCACTTTTTTATTTGGTGTAGCATTTTAAAAATGGAAAAAAAAGAATTTTACTTGATCTCACTTTTTGAATATATATAATCATGAATTAACAGATAAAATTTGAGTTTAGGACTCAGGGTATAACTCAATTGTATAATGTGTGCCTAGCATGTGCAAGACCCTGGGTTCAATTAATTAAATGATTAAAAAACTTGTGTAAATGACTTAATTTTACTTTTTCTATCTCTACATTAGTATACATCATTTCCTGCACAACTTTCTTTGATTCAGTGATATTTAAACCCATTAGGTCTAGGAAAATAAGAATGGGAGTATTTGAAGTAATGTCAGTATTTCAAAAATCCTAATGAAAACTGTATATTTACTGATGATGAGAAGCCCCAGACTTGAGCTAACATATGAAGTCTATTTGTGTTAGTCCTGAATAAGTTATATCATGTTGATCTAAAGATGTGTTGACAGTTACATATGCTTTTAGATTATGTCTTTGTAGGTGAGATGAATGTCTTACAGGCAGCTTATTGCTGGGTCTTGTTTGTCTAATCAGCCAGTCTGTGTTTTTTAATTGGAGAATTAAGACCATTTACATTTAGGGTTATTATTGAAAGGTATGTAGTTGTCTCTCTCATTTTGTTGATGTTCTTCAGGTTTGATTTTCTTCCTGTTTTATCTTTGAGGTTTGATGGTTTGCTCCTTTGATAATGTTTGATTTTTTTCCTGTTTTTCTTTTGTGTGTCTAATTTTCTAGTGAGACTTATTTTTTCCTGTGCCCTAGTGACTGTGTTAATCGTTCTTCTCTAGGATCTAGGATGCCCTTGAGTATCTTCTGTAATGCTGGTCTCATGGTCATGCTGCTCTAGCAGTTTTAACTTATCTTGGAAGGTCTTTTTCTCCTCTTATTCATCACTGTATTCCCTCCTGGCCTTTAGAGTTTCTGCTGCCAGGCCTGCTGCTGTTCTAATGGGTTTACCTTTAAATGTGACCTTGTGTTTCTGTCTTGCAGCTTTTAATATTCTGTCTTTGTTCTGTACTTTTGGCAGTTTAACTATATTGTCACCGAGAAGTTCTCTTCTGGTCAGGTCTATTTGGGGTTCTAAATGTGTCTAGTATCTGGAAGTCTTTGTCTTTCCTAAATTTATGATTAATTTTTACTATTGTATCAATAAATAGGTTTCCTCAGTTCTCAGCATGTGGCTTTTCTCCCTCTAGTATGTGATCATTCAGATATTTGGTCTTTTTTTTTTTTAAAGAAATTTTTTAAATTTGTCAATGAATCATTTATTTTATTTATTTATATGTGGTGCTGAGGATCGAACCCAGGCCTCACATATATCAGGCAAGTGCTCCACCATTGAGCCACAATTCCAGCCCCAGATATTTGATCTTTTAATGGTATCCCAGAGATCCTATGTGTTCTCTTCCTTCTTTTCTTTTCCCTCCCTCCCTCCTTCACCCCTCCCTCCCTCCTCTCTTCCTTTCTTCCTGTTTCAGTGTATTATTTGGGCAGAGTTGCGTTCAAGCTCTGATAGTCTTTCGTCTACTTCATCTAGTCTATTGAGGTTTTTACTGAAATTTTTTTAATCTAACTTACTGAACTTTCATTTTCAAGATTTGTTTGATTCCTTTTCAAAGTCTGTGTCCCCTTATTAATGTGCTTATTTATGCCCTGCCTTGTTTTCTTTAATTCAGCTGATTATTTTTATTCTTTTGGATTGCATTGAACTTTAAGAAAACCATTTGTTTGAATTCTTTTTGAACTCTTTGTTTAACTTTCCATTCACTTTGATGACCTCTTTTGTGGGTGGGCATTGAGCCCAGGGGTGCTTTACCACTGAGCTACCTCCCTAGCTTTTATTTTTAGAGATAGGGTCTTGCTGAATTGCATAGGGCCTTGCTAAGTTGCTGACGCTGACCTCCAAATTGTCATCTTGCCTCAACCTCTCAAGTCACTGGGATCACAGTCATGGGCCACTGTGCCTGGATCACTTTGATATCTTTGGCATCTGTTATTAGGTAGTTTTGATCTTCAGGAGGTGTCACATAATTTGTTTCTTTTTTGCATTTTTGTGTTTCTATGTGGAGATTTATGCCTCTGTTAGGATGGGTATATTTTCTACTTTTATGTGAGAGCTTTTTTCTGAATAAGTATCCTGGGATATCTTTTTGTTGTGTAGTGTAGAGTTTAATTCCAACTGGGAATTCCTTGGGATTTCTGTACGATGTATTTTGTTGGAGCCTGAGAACGTGCTTTCTGTGTAGGTCTTATGAGATGGGACGCTCTGGTACTTAAGATGGGTGTGGTGTAAACAGCAGAGTATGTAGGGTGTACATTCTGGTTATTCCATGGGAATGGACACCTCTCTCAGGTGTTGGGGTTTTTCTTGGGCTCTGTTGATATTGGCTGTTTCTTGAAAGCAGTTCTACTACTGGCTATTCCAATTACAGTGATAGGCCTGGGATTTTATACTCTGTGCAGACATTGGTATAATCCCATTTGTTTCTCAGGGAGAGTCAGGGGCCAGGGTCAAAGCTCCCCACTGTGGCACTCACCTCTAGTCTTGTCAACAGTAGGATGTGGGAGTGATGGATGCAGTTCCTTGTAGATAGTGCCCAGAACAGTTGTGCTGTTTCTCCCTGCTGTTACTATGGGGCGAGCGTCTAGTAGCAGGACTTCAGACACCCTCCTCTTGTCATGCATGCTTGGGGGATATTGTCTGGGGACTTTTATTCTCCTGTTATTTACATTGAAGTATCTTAGAAGGTTTGAATGGGGCTAGTTAATATTTTTAACTGGGCTGGGTATATAGCTCAGCAGCCTAGACCCCACCCAGGAGGATTTGATTCCCAGGCCCAATCTTTAGCACCATAAAAAAAAGGAAAAGAAGAAAAACAGACAAAGAAATAAAGTGGAAGCAGCAATAACACCATGAACAAGGGGATAGATGGGGAAAAATAATATAGCCATAAGATAATATTTTAGAAAAATAATAAAAGAAAAAATGGCAGAAATAAAAAATGAAAAGGAGGACAAAGGATAGAAAAAGAATATTTTTAAAAGGAGAAAAGACATAAAAAACACAAAAAAATAGCAACAACAACAAAAATTTAAAAAATAAATTTTTTTTTTTCCTCTGCCAGGGTGCTTGAATGAGCAGGAAAGAGTGAGTATTTGTAGTCTGTGATGATTGAGGTTTCTTTCTGTGTCTTCTTGGGCTCTATGCCTCTTGGACAGAGTAAAGGCTGGGGGTTGTTCACTCCTCCTCTTCTTTCTTTTTTGGTGCTTCTCAGTTGATTACAGGAGTTTGTTGAATGTCTCTCAGCTGCTTTGCATGGTACAGTGAGGAAGAGCAGATCATAGAGCTCCCAGGTGAAGATTCTCTCTGGGCCTGTTTTGGTTGAGATCAGGGTAGATGTCATTCCCATGGTGTGTCAAGGAAGTAGCACAGCATATGAAACTCCTTCAAGATTGTCTCCAGAGGTGTTTGTGCACAGAATGGGGTAACACCAACTCTGTGGTGTGAGGCTGTATGTCCCCAAAGGTGGAGAGAGGCCATGGAGTCTGAAAACATCTGCAGGGGGCTGGAGTTGGAGCAAGTATGGCAGCAGGTTCCATCTGATCTGCCCATGATTCCAGTGTTGCCTCTTCTGTGTCCTGTGTGCCATCACACATGCCTGCTCACTTCCCCAGACTCTGGCAGTTGGGTTATCAAGCCACACATTCCAAAAGCAGGTGCTTCCTGTATTCCCACGTGCTGCAGTCAGTGATAGAACTCTTGTCAAGTTTGTGTCAGTCTCTGACTAAACTGACTGCTGCTCACTCAGCAGTGCCATGATAGTACTCAGGGGTCTCAGAGACAGGAAAGTGCAGGGGCCTTTCACTCCTAAAGTAGTAGTAAGCTCAGACAATAGGGCTCTTCTCAACATGGTTTCCAGTTGCAACACTGTGAGAATATGCTTGGAAGTGCAGAGAACTCTAGAACCCATTCGCCATGGAAATCTTAGGACTGTTGTCTGTTTAGACTATATTTCTGCAAGTTGCTGAAAACTGTGCCATTGATGGTCACTGGAACTCTCCCTCTTTCATTTCCACTCCCACCAAGCAGGGCTTCCCTTTTCCTCTACTGTGTAGTTGGTACTGGGACATTCTCTATTTCGCTATCCACAGTCTCTAGGTTTCTCCAAGTCTGTCTGTCCACTATTGAACTCCAGTGTTTTCCCCATGATCATTTACCTCAAAAAGCAGCTGCATCCCAGTTGTTTCATTTCTATCTCATGGAGAAGCAGGCAAATGCTGGGTGCTCTTAATCTGCCACCTTGTGAAGTGAAACTCAACCTCTGTTCTATATAGTATTTCTCGAAGCCATCAGCATTCCTTAAGGAAAGAAGAGAACACATCCTAATAGTCCGGTGTGCTCGAGTCATTTCCTTTCAGTAAATCCTAATTAACCTCTTAGTTTTAGAAATTTGTGTTTTCCAAGGAATATATCCATTTCAGTGTATTGCCATAAAGTTGTTCATAATGTTTTCTTACTATCCTTTTAGGATCTGTAGTGATCTCACCTCTTCTTCTTTTTTCCCCTACTTTGTCAGTGTGGCTAGAAGTTTAGCAATTTTATTGATCTTTTAAAGAACAAACTTTTGGTTTCATTGTTTTTTATTTTTTTTCATTATTTTTTGCCTCTTTTCCTGTTTTTAATTGATCAAGCAGTGCTTTTTTCTATGACTGACAAGTCTCTACCTTCTTACCTTTGGATTTAGCAATTGTTAATTTATCTAAACTTTCTGAATCATGTGTATTTTATCATATGGTAGTTCTTTTTATCGTCTTCCATAAGCACGTAATTCATTGAGTAAAGTAACACTTTCTTTTTGCTTGCCTGCAGTTCTATTTAACCATAGTTTATAAAGTTGTAGTTCACCACTCTTGATCAAAATTTAATATTATACATTTTCTGTTGTAGTTATATTTGTAATAATTCATAAATACTCAAATATGTGTGCACATATGTGTTAAACTAATTTAAAGAAATCTTAACACAAGTTCTGGCCAAATTTCTCTTTTTGAATTAATTGACTATTAAAAAACTTAGACTTAAATTTGTGACCCTCCCTGTAAGATTTAGGCCTTTAGATTCTAATTTAGTTTTACATTTCCTAGCTTTGTTTTATATCCCTATTTCTGTTTTTTTCTTTTATATTTTGTAGCTTACTATAAATACCTAAAATTACCTTAAATTCTTTGTGGATAAATTACAAGATAATTGATATTAATAGCTTTTGAACTTTGTTACACATTTAACTTGAAATGTAATTCATAGCTTTAAAATCAAGTAATACAGCTCTGTGACAGAAAATTTAGGAAAATAGAGAAAGTTAAAAAAGAAAAGAAAAGAAAAACCCACAATAACTAAGTAGCTTATTTTAATCCAATATATAATTTATGTTTACTGGAGGACACCAAGAAGAAATCAGTTAAAGGAAGGTAAAGGGAATGCTGACTTTGAAGCTGTCCTAGTAACATAGCACTTGGGAAATCACAGTGACATGGAATTTGCTTCATATACTGAAGTGTGTTTTAAGTAGCTTTGTAATTTCTTAGTACTTGAAAAGGTGTAAGAATTTATTATAATCTACTAAAGATACCATATAATAGAAAGTGCTGTTTTAGGGAAATGTTTAAAATAAGTTTTTAAAATACATAGTGTTATTTTTAGAATTTCTGCTTTGAAATATTCAAATCTCTTTCCTCTTTTTTTCATTTCCTTTCCTTCTTCCTCTCAACATTTAGGAAAAGAGCATTGGTTGCCATTGGTACTCATGATTTGGACACTTTATCAGGCCCTTTCACCTACACTGCAAAGCGTCCTTCAGATATCAAATTCAAGCCTCTGAATAAGACTAAGGAGTATACAGCCTGTGAATTAATGAACATATACAAGGTAAATATTCTTTTTTATTTTGCAGTAGCTTTGAATAAATCATCGGATGCATTCAAAGTTGTCTTGAAGTTAGGGAAATGTAATAAATGCTTGGTAAAAAAGCAACAGTTTTGGGCTCTAATCCAGAGATACTGACTGATTTCCTCTGATTTAAAGTGGGGCCTAGATCATAATTTTGTTTGTTTACTTTTTTTAATTACTTTTTTAATCTGTGGGATGATTTTAATGTATTTGTAGAATTAAGAACCACTTAAATTGACTACCATATTTTAATCTTCATATTTGTATAAAATTAAAACTCATGCAAATATAAGGAAAATAATATTTGGTAGGCAACTGGGAGGGATACTGTTATAAAGTGTCTGCCTCTCATTACTAACATTTTAGAGTCTGACAATGAACGTGAATTCTACTAACACTTTCAATTGCTAATAAATAAAAATAGTGCATATCAGTGAAGAGCTTTTTGTGATTTGGAATGTTTTAATGTTTTTCTGACTCCCCCCCACTTATAAAATATCAGTGTATGCATTAATTATAATAATAGAAATTTTTAAAATTAACTTTGTTTGACTTGATTTTTTTTTCAGACTGACAACCACCTTAAACATTACTTGCATATCATTGAAAATAAACCTCTGTACCCAGTTATCTATGATAGCAATGGTGTCGTCCTTTCAATGCCTCCAATCATCAATGGTGAGTTCCTTCATGAACATCATGAATTATTGCTGTTTCTTCTTATTCTTCAGCATTTTTGTAGATTCTCAGTAACTTGGCTGATCAAATCAAACGACTCAATCTGATAGTCTCAGGTCTTTTGTTGATTTTATTCTAATAGTTCTTTTCATTATTCAATAATATTTTACTAATGATTTTTATATAATTTATAAATTTGTAAATATTTATAAATGTATGAGTACTTGTAAACATTTATACACTTATAATTATTTATACACTCATAAATATTTACTGATAACAGTTTCTGGATTTTGTTATATTCTTCCGAAGGATGTTGATATTTTAGTTTTAGTAGTCATTCACTTGGTTAAACTCAGAAGTCACACTCTGTCTTGCCTACAGTTTTTTAGTTAAACTACAACTTTTAATCTAAGTTCTACACTCAATTTCTTTTTGAAGGCTTTTTTTATGAGGCAGTTTGAATGTGTTTGCAGAATTTAATGTCTAAGCCATGGATGTTTGACTTTTTGGAGGTGAGAAAGAGGTTTAGCTAATTCACCATGAGAAGGAAAATCCTCTTCTTGAGATCTTGAACTTTAGCAGTTACAGTGGTTACATGGGCCTCAGAGTTAACCACCCAGAGCTTAGCTTTGCTATTTGCTAGCTAATGATCATGGCAAGTTGCTTAATCTCTTTAAATTTTAGTTGTCTTGTCTGAAGTTAGGTCATAGGTTGTGGTAAAGATTAGATAACAGTCTCAGTAAAGGTTTGTTATTCTTTTATTGTATTCTCCAACTTGCCATGAAAGTTTAAAATAAAAGTTGTATATCCCCTTATCTCTAAGGTGTTAATTTATATTTTTTTCTAAATTTAAAATGTAGCTTCTATTTTGATGAGCTTTGTAATACAGTTATGTTTTTTAAAATGGTTGTTTTGTTATTGTTTTATGTTCATTGCAGGGAATCATTCCAAAATAACAGTAAATACTAGAAATGTATTTATTGAATGCACAGGAACTGACTTTACTAAGGTAAATAAAACTTCTAATTTTTTTTTTTTTTTTTCCCAATACTGAGCATTGAATCAGGAACACTTGACCACTGAGCTGCATTCCCAGCCTATTTTAGTTTTTATTTTGAGACAGTCTTGCTAAGTTGCCATGTCTGGCCTTGAATTTTTGATCCACTAACCTGAGCCTCCCAAGTTTCTGGGCTTACAGGTGTGCCCCACCACACCCAGCTAAAATTTCTAATTTTATACCATCAAATAGAATAGATTTTACTTTTAAATCAAGTTGTATGGTAGAAATTAAGATATTTTAAGACATATTTATTTCATGTTTAGAAAAGTAGAATATTAAATCAGTGTAAATTCTGTATGTTGTTTATGGTGTTTTCATTTGACAAATTTTTTTTGCTTTTTTTTGGTACCAGGAATTGAACTTAGGGGTGCTTAACCACTGAGCTACATCCTGAGCCCTTTTTTATATTTTATTTAGAGACAGGATCTCGACAAGTTGCTTAGGGCCTTGATAAGTTGCTGAGGCTGGCTTTGTTTTGTCTTTTAAAATTTTTTAAATTTCTTTAAAAATTTTTTTTTTAGTTGTAGATGGACACAATATCTTTATTTTCATTTATTTATTTTTATGGGTGCTGAGGATCGAACCCATGCCTCACACATGCTAGGAAATTGTTCCACCCCTGAGCTATTGCCTCAGCCTTCCCAGCTGCTGGGATTGCAGGTGTATGCCATACTGCCTGGCTGACAACGTTTAATGAACGCTTAATGTCTTCTCAATGCCAGGGATTTTTAATGAGCACTTAATGTCTTTTCAGTGCCAGGGATTTAAGAATGGTTACATGTTTTTTGACTTCAAATAACTTGTCTAATGGGAGAATCTGCCATATACATGACAATAAAAAAGAGACTAGAATAAGTACCATAACAAGACCAGTAAAAACCATTTATCTTAGTTGGTTTCATTTAAATGCTGAATGATTTCCTATCTTTGTGTACTTGAAAGTTTTCTGTAAAGAAGTTTTAAATTAATAAAGGGTTTATGCATATAAAAATATCTAGAAGATGTAGTTTACCAGTTGTTCACTCACTTTTATTTGCTACCTACTTTGGATTATGTTGGAATGGATTACTATGAAAGCTTCCCACCCCCCAAAACTGGGAATTAAACCCAAGTCATCACAAATGTTAGGCAAGTGCTCTACCATTGAGCTACATCCCTAGACCTTTTTATTTTTGAAACAGGTTCTCATTAAGTTGCCCAAGATGCCCTCAAACTTGCAATTTTCTTTCTTCAGCCTTCCAAGTAGCTGGGATTATAGGCGTGTGTCACCATTATTTGGGTGACATATATATCAGCATAGGGTGAGTTGGCAGTTGAGCAAATTCCGAAAGATAAACTAGAATAACAGAAGGCGGCTGGAGTATAAAGGTAGGGGAGATACCTGGTATTTGTGTGGGTCTTATACGATTGTGGACATTTTAAGGTATTTCATTTGTAACATTTACCTGTCATATTTGCCTTCAGAAATATCGTCAGGATAATATAAGATTTAACTGTTAAAACATTTTTAAGCCTTTAAGTTATGCATTGACAGACCTTAGGTATTTTTTCTGAAACTTATATAATAATTAAATGTACATAAGAGCAATGCATACATTCCAATTAGGTTAGCATATTTTTTCCTACTTATTTTCAATTAAAAATTATTTAACAAGCTTGTGGTTCTTACTGAGCACCATCTTATGTGTATTAATGCATCTGATGCTCACAGTGACAAATGAGATAGGAATTTTTATTGTGTCCACTTAACAGATAAGAAAAGTGAGATGAAGTGAGGATAAAGTAGCTTGTCTGAAGTCACACTGTCAGTCAGTGGTTGAGCCAGTATTCCAGCAGTCTGGTTTGAGAAACTTATGAAATTGAAAACATTTAATCCAGCAATTGGCCATTTATCTCTCTTGAACCTGGTGAACCAAGGTTGGGAGTGGGGAACTAAATGATTTGTCTCGATCATGGATTGTAACTCTCAAAGAGCTGCATAAATGCAGAGCACCTGAAGATAAGAATACCCTACTCATAAGTTTTTATTCCATTTTCTTTCTTGGAATGTAAATGTAAAGGTCCATTTTTATGTGATTGGGGACTAATTATTTTAAATATTCATTACCCCCTGAATGGAGAATATATAAATTACCATAATACTCTTTTTCTTTTGCAGGCAAAAATAGTTCTTGATATTATTGTCACCATGTTCAGTGAATATTGTGAAAATCAATTCATGTAAGTTCATTCAGCATCTTTATTGATGGCTTCTGTTTTGAAGTTGAGTCATTGGGCCTTGTGCTAAATATAATGATGAAAAATATGGTTCCTGTAACTAGAATATAGAATATGTTAAAAGAAATAAGAAATATGGCTAAGTAATGTAGAAAGCAAAAAGTGATAAATACTTGAGACGTTTTGGCGATGTTCTGGTATTTGTAAGGTCAAGTTACTATTGGCTGAAGCAATCTGGGGTGGTGTCTTGGAGGCATTGAAATTTAGACTGTATTTAGGGATTACTGAGTCTGAGAATGTCTAGGAGGAACAGCAAGAGGCACAACTAAACAAAGAGAAATATATGAGAGCAAAATATATATGCCATATATTTATCAGTAAAATTACTTTTTTCCAAAGTGTGTGTGTGTGTATGTATTTTTGTACAGGGAATTAAACCCAGGGATGCTTTACCACTGAGCTACATCTCTAGATCCCTGGCCCTTTTTATTTTTTGATTTTGAGACAGGATCTTGCTAGGTTGCTTAGGAACTCCCTAAGTTGCCGAGGTGGGTCTGGAACTTGTGATCCTCCTGCTTCAGCCTCCTGATTCACTGGAATTACAGGCATGTACCTAGCTCAAAGCATATTTTTAATTAAAAAAAATTAAACCTATATGGCCTTTACTGTGTACGGTATTGATTATGATTCACAGTACATGTATAATTATAAAATGCATGACTGAAATTATATGGGCTGTATTAGTTGTGTTTGTTATTTTCTTTAACTCATTTTGCATTTCAGTGGTTTTATCAGTTAACTTTTGTCACGTAACACTACCCTGATGAAACCTGGGATACCAGATTAGCAGAAAGTCCATATAGGATGCATGCTTTGCACTACCAGGAAATAAATTTTGCAAGTGGACACTGCCTACAGGGACATGGGAGCCTTACGAAATGAAATGGTAGAATAATATATAGGAAGATTAGTTCACACAGTGTTAGAGTATGATAGATTGAGTGTATTGAGATTGGAGTTGTAGCTCAAATTAAAGATTGATTAACCATGTACATTGCTGGAATTCTGACACATTTTTTTCTTCTTAAGCATTTTATTTCTGACATTTGTTTTTTAGGGTTGAAGCAGCTGAGGTAGTTTTTCCTAACGGGAAGTCAAATACTTTTCCAGTAAGTATTTAAGAACTGATGGTGACCACAGTATAATGGCTCCAGAGTGCTTGTGTTCTGTTGATTTACCCATCCATCCATTCACCCACCCTCCTTCATGCCAGACACTTCACAATGACCCTGTGAGGATGTTTTTTGACTTCAAATAACTAGTCTAATTGGAGAGTGCGATTATTTATGCCTTTTCTAGAAGAAGATTCTGAGATCTTGAGATTTTAAATAGGTTGCCTATTAATACAGTGGTGGAGCTAGGACTTAAGATCAGACAGTGTGACATCAGATGCCAACATGCTGGGTTATACAATCACATTATAAGGCCATAATTTTTGTGATCTTATTAACTAGCTAACTGGGTAATTTATAGTCTCACCCCTTTAAGATTACTAAGCCCTGCAAATCTAATTAGTCTGTTCACACTTGAATTAACAGTTGCTGAAGGCCATCCCTGTAACTAATACATAATTCCAATTGTGTTAATGAGACTAATTCAGTAGCAAGTACAGCTATTGTCAGAACATAGAATATTAGTAAAAAATTTAAATTAGTTTTATTTTTATACTTCTTTCTGATGATACTGGGGATTCATCCCAGGGTCTTATGCATGCCAGGCAAATGCTCTGCTGCTGAGCTTATACCCTCAGCTCCTAAACTAGTATTATTCTTAATTGACTGGACTTACTTCCCCCCAAGATGGCTACATATAAAGATGGCTATTCTCAAACATGACAGTATCACAGTAAATTAGTTGTGGTTCTGACTCAGTGAGACCATTCTTTGATGAGCTTTTTTCTCTTTGGATTTTTTTTAGTTCCTTTGTCATTTATGAAGTGAATCAGAGCCTAAATAGTTAAATAGCTTTTAAAGTAAATTAAACTTGCCATGACCAAAACATCTCCCTCCCCAAAACATTAGGTTTAACAATGCATTTTATTCTAGAACATTTATTATTAGTCAAAATAACTGTATAATCATAAAAGGCATAACTGAAATTACTTGGTCAATATCAAGGTTTTTTAAATTTTTAATTGATCTGGAATTTAGTAGTTATTATCAGTTAGCTTTTGTTGTATAACAAACTACGCTAAGACAGTGGCTTAAAATAACAGCCATTTACTTATCTCCTGATTCTCTTGGTCACTTCAATGGTTCTTCGTTTCTGGGCCAACTTAGCTGATCTCTGCTGAGCTTGCTCATATGGGTAGCCATGTGGCTGGTTAACTGATGGCAGGATGATCTGAAATGGCCTCACTCATATATCTGTTTCTTGTTGTGGGGTCAGGGTGTCAACTGTCCCTAATCATCATCCAGCTTGCTAGCTTGTTTTTTTCATGTTCACATGCTGCTGCTGATGGAAACCAGGGCCTTGTGTGTGCTAGCAAGCTCTGAGCTACACACACCCTCTACCCACACTTGGGCTTCTTAATATGATGGTGGGTTCCAGGGTTTCCAGCAACAAGAGAGCAAGCCCATCATGCTTTCAATCATGATGTCCTGTTGGCCATCACTGATGTGGTGGAGAAATAGATGCCATCTCCTAACTGTAGGATCTGTAGTGTCATGTTGCAAAACCATGGATGTAGAGAGATTAAGAATTTGTGATTATTTACCTCACTAGTAGTTGGAATTAACCACAGATAGCTTTTTAGATTGTTTTTTAAAATGTCTGATTTGAGGAAAGTTTCTCTTTAATATGAGGAATTGTCAAGTGTTACTAAAACTAAGTATATACTTTTGTGAAAGGGGAGAAATGTGTTTTAAAATTTGGTTTACTTTTCTCATTTGGATCATTTATTTATGTTAAGAGAGCTTTCATAAATTCGACGTCTTTCTGAAAAGGAGTACTACACTGGTGTTTGGCATTTGTTAATTTATTTTCTCCTAAACTTTGGTTAGAATAGCTCTCAGGTTGTCTTCTCAGAGGCGAAGGGTCCTCTAGAGGTTCACTGCCTCTTCTTCACATGAAGTAGCAAAATTTCACAAATACTTTGAAAGTTCTTTGCTAGGCTTTTAAATTTTTAGAAAAGAATAAAATTTGAAATAAGATAAGTGGTAGAGAGAAATGGTTAATGGCTAATGGTGAGAGCTTTGGAATTAGGATTTCTTAATTTGTTTATCAAGTCAAATTTATTTTTTAATTACTTTATACATACATTTATTCATTAAATATATACCAAATGCTTATTATCTTATAGGAATTTTTCTAAGCTCTGGGAATATAGCAGCAATTAGACTCAGCAAGTTAGTACTTGGGACCCAGTACTAGTTTTTCTCTAAAACTCACATTCCTTATCTGTAAAATAAGGATACTAACATTGAGGGGACTAAGAGATTATCAAAAGTATATCTTGAACTGTTAAGCTCACAGTAACTATTCAGTAAAGGTTTGTTATTACTGTTGTCATCTGAGTATCTTGACCAGTCTGTGCCACCCCAATTCTACTGTGCATTCAATTCACCTGGGAATCTTGATAGCCTGCAGTGTGGGCTATCAAGTTTAGTATGTGTAGTGTCATTGATGCTAGCTTGACCTGTGAAGAATGTAAGTCTGCCTTTCTCACAAGCACTCAGGTAATGCTGATACTCTCGCTTTGAAGACTGTATTTTGAGTAGCAAGGCTCTGGTGCATGGCCCTTGCTTGGATCAAAATAGGTTTTAAATATACAGCCTTTTTGATAGTGACGTTTATACTTTTAGAGTAATTTGGTGCTAAGAAATATTTGTTTCCAAAGTGTGGAAATCCCTGGATGGTAAATTATGTTCCATTTGAAGTATAGTAAGTATCAATTTATGAGATGTTCCCACCCCTTTTATCTCCTCAAGCAGATTGATAGCCAAGACTTGGGGCATCATTGATTTTTCCCATGTGGGACATAGTAATAGAGAAATGTCTTAACATTCTTAGACTCAGTATGATGGATGGTACGTTGTGACACTTGAATTATTCTTTTTTGGTCACACACACCTGCTTGCGAAGATGAGACTGAAAATCTTTATCAGGATTTATAAACATCTTGGAAATGATGTAATGCAGCTATGTTTTACTGTAGGGAATGTGGAATAAGCATCTAAAGAGAAAAATGTTTGGCATAAGTAGTACAAATCATCTAGCAAGTAGAATGTTCATATAAGAATGTAATGTAGCAATTTGTTTTTCTGTAATAATTTTTAAAACATCAAGTTTATTTTCAATATGTGACTCTAAAGATACTTTCTTGGCAAGGTAATAAAGCTGCAACAACAACTAATTGAATTAGAAAGAGTCTAAAACTATATCCAGTGGGAAATGATTTAAGCTTTCAAACTCTTTTCTCTTTAAGGAACTGGCTTACCGAAAGGAGATAGTTAGAGCTGATCTTATTAACAAGAAAGTTGGAATCAGGTATGTTTTAAAAACTTCATTTATTTATTGTTGGAGAAAGCTTTGGAATTAGGCTCTCTCAATTTGTTTATCAAGTCATTAATTTATTCCTTTGTTACTTCATGTGTAACATGTACAAACTTCATACAAGGCTATTTAATTTTTCTGAAAGAATGCTTGGAGAGGATTTTGATATTGTTCAGAGTAAGTTAAAAAATGAGATGGCATCAGTTAGGATGTCTAATGTCTAATAGGATTCAAAAAGAAAGTTATGGTTTCAGGTAGTAGTGTTATCTTAAGTCAAAATGTAAACATGTTTTACATAATCCAGAAAAGTTTATGGTTTGTACATTCCTTTTTCAGAGAAACTGCGGAAAATCTTGCCAAGCTCCTGACCAGGATGTATTTAAAGTCAGAAGTCATAGGTGATGGGAATCAGATTGAGATTGAAATCCCTCCAACCAGAGCTGACATTATCCATGCGTGTGATATTGTAGAAGATGCAGCTATTGCTTATGGATATAACAACATTCAGATGACTCTCCCGAAAACATACACCATAGCTAATCAAGTAAGATTGCACCCTTAAATAAACACTCCTTATTGTTAGAAACTGATTATTGAATGCCAGGAAGGCTTTGAGAAAAACAGAACATAAGAATTAAGCAGTATTTGGACATGCTTTGCTATGAGAAGCATTTGCTATGGAAAGGATACAAAACAGATGCCCAAATGATTAGAGTAAGTTGAAAACCTGTGATGACTAGTTCTTTGAAGAAAGACAGGTTTTGAGAATACAGCCCTTGTTGAATCAGACTAGGAGATTCATTTTCTCAATGTGGGCCTGAAGGCAGAATTGTGTGGGGGAGATGTGGGTGGGGTGGGGACAGGGTGTAATCTATATAGATAGTGGGGTATTAATTGTGTGGGGATAGGGTGAGGGTTGTATGCTTTTAATGACATGTTCAATATAAATGTATTATTTTAAAAATGGAGATATTATTGAGGTGAAATAAAGTGAATTTTTTTCTAGTTTCCTCTTAATAAGCTCACTGAACTTCTCAGACATGACATGGCAGCAGCTGGATTCACTGAAGCACTTACCTTTGCTCTGGTATGTCTTAAAACGTGCCTTTTCTGCTCAGCTGATTTTTTTTTTATTTTGACTAAATTATTTGTTCTGTGATTCTGTAAATGAGTTTTTAAATCTAGACTGCTAAAATTTCCAGACTATAAAAGAATACCTTTGTTACTAGAGATTGTACAGTTAAAAGAATGTTGAGAGGTTTCTGTATATAATCATAGGAAAAACATAAAAGTCTAGAAATATTGCCTTAAGTGATAGATGACAAAATATTTTATAGTTTCATGTGTTGAGGGTTCATAATGAATTGTATAACCAAATTTATGAAGTTAGAATATTTGGTCTTAATTTGGTTGTGGCTGTGCCCACTAGATGCCGCCCTGGTTAAGAGCTTGTGGACTGTTCCACATTAAACCTATTTCTTTGTCTTTGAACATGTTCACAAACATTTGCTTTGAGTTGAAAAGCTGACATAAAAGGCCTAAATCAGGAAATGAATTTTATTACAAAATCAGAAGGAAATCTCCCTCCCTTACCAGATTGACCATTTAAAAGAATAAAATATGTATGCAATTTGTAGGCTTTTTTCCTGTTGCTGAGTATTTCTGTGGTACCTGTGGTGGAGTTTTTGAGCATTCAAGTTTCAGTTTAACCTTAGGGAGGAGCTACTTCTTGCTCCCCAACTTAGTCCCAGCCCTGAAATTCTCAGACTTTTAGAGTATTTCAGAGACTGTCTAGATTTTCTAGTTTAGGCCTTGATTTTTCTGAGTCAGTAGTCACTCCTTCAATAGTTGTTGAGCATGTGTCATGTGCTAGGCATTATGCCAGCAAGGAAGCCTGAAACTGAAAGAGGACCTAAGTACCTAACACATTTTCCACAACAGCACCACCGTGACTACAGTCCTAGCCTTTGGATTCCTAGAGCCATTACCATTGTCTCCTTCTGTGTACACTACTTTTATAGCAGGCACCATGCAATTCGCACACACATGTTCTAGTCATGAGCATCTACAATTTTATGTAAAGGGAAATATAAAATATAACACTGAGAAATGTACTTTTTATTTTTTTTAAAGTTTTTTAAATATTTATTTTTTAGTTATAGTTGGACACAATACCTTTATTTCACTTATTTAGTTTTATGTAGTGCTGAGGATCAAACCCAGGGCCTCGTGTGTTCGAGGCAAGCGCTCTACCGCTGAGCCACAACCCCAACCCCATATTTTAAAAAAATTTTTAATTTGTTCTTTTTAGTTATACATGACAGTAAAATATATTTTGATATATATACATGGAGTATAACTTCCCATTCTTGTGGTTGTACATGATATGGAGTAACATTGGTCATGTGCTCATATATGAACATAGGAAAGTTATGTCTGATTCATTCTCCTGTCTTTCCTGTTCCCATCCCCTTCCCTTCCTTTCATTCCCCTTTGTCTAATTCAGTGAACTTTTATTCTTCCCTTCTCCCCATTTTTTAAATATGTAAGTGGCATAGGAATCAACAAATTCTCTTTTTGATGGATTTGAACTTCACAGATCCCATTGAGTAAACCATGACAGTTCTCCTCCCTACTTTTAATCCTGTTTTCCTTCCCAGATCTAATTGCTGTTAGAATTCTGGCATTAGTTTTCCCTGCCCTTCTATGTTAGTGGTACATTCTGATGTAATTATGTAGCTTGGAGTATCTTTGGAAGAACACATAAGCTGAGTTCCACAAATAACTGCAGGGAATGTTTACCCTATGCTAAGGCTCTATGTACAAAATTCCGTTTCTTTTCTCTCAGCCTTGTGTAGTAGGCCTTTCTGTCTTCCACAGTACTTAATTTGAGAGTCACTCATCCCACTCCTTGTTGTCAGTTGACTGTGGACCAGATTCCAGCACAGGCCTGTTTTTTCATCCAAATCTAGTGACTGAATTGTCATACTAGAGATGTTTGTCATATTAGCCTGTTTGGCTGTCCAGAGTCACTTTTTAATACATTTGTTGTTTGTCACGGGAGGAAAAGAGAGGTGCTAGAGTGTTTCAGATTTCAAATAACAGTTTTCCTGTAGGATTTTCACCATTGGAATTCAGTGTTTGAAAAGTTACACATTTTATAAGGAAACCTAAACATCACTGAGTTAAGATGGCCTGTATTGTTACATACGGTTTAATACAAGAGTGACAGTCATTCTTTTTTTTTTGCGAGGGAGGGGAATACCAGGGATTGAACTCGGGAACATTTGACCACTGAGCCACATTCCCAGCCCTATTTTGTATTTTATTTAGAGACAGGGTCTCACCAAATTGCTTATTGCCTCACTTTTTGCTGAGGCTGGCTTTGAACACATGATCTTCCTTCCTCAGCCTCCTGAGCCACTGGGATTACAGGTGTGCATCACTGCACCTGGCCCATGACCATTGTTCTATTCCTTGACTACCCAAGTATAGTAAGCAATTCATATCCCATCATTATGATTTTTGCTATATCTGCATACTTGTAGTAATGTTTTTCATTTAAGATTGGCTCAGTTTTAAAACTAAATATCCACTTACCATTTTCTACCTCTGCAGCCTAAGCAGATCAGGGAATTCTTCTTTGCTAGGCTTGGACATGGCTTTGGGATCTTTCCCAAGAGAGCATGATAGGAATCACTAGAGCTGGCTTTGGCATTAAATGAATTCTTTTTACCATGTCAGTTTTTCTACCTCCCCCCCTTTTTTTGAGTGATATACATGCCAATTATTCCTTGAAAATTGTTTTGTAGAGCAGTACAATGGGCGATCATTTACTCTCTGCCAGGCAGTTAGAATGCATTATCTTCTTATCTGATTTATTATTGGGCTTGATGTATCTTAATAGTTGGTTTTATTTTCATAACTTTTGCCTGCTGTCCTGGTTTCTGAGGTGGACAAGCATTTTCTTTTCTTTCTTTCTTTTTTTTTTTTTTTTTGGATGCAAGGGTACTTAGCAGTTTGCTACCATGAGCTTTATCAAGCAGGTGCAGGGAAATTAAATGATAGAAAAACTTTGGGCAGAATTCAGGCCACTTGAATTCTCTCCAGTTCTACCATTCTGCACACAGAGTGGATTCAGCAAGGTTTTCATTCATTGCTAGTCAAAACAGAAAGTCATCGGAAATTCCAAGGAGGCAGAGAGAATTTCTGATTGGAATCATTAGGGACATTTTTGTGGAAGAAGTGGAAAAGAGGTCATTTAAATAGAGCTTCAGGGAATGGCTGCATGTGGGGGTGGGAGGCATTTCAAGTAAAGGCAGGGAAAAGTATAAGGTTCAGGAGGGTATGGACCAGGGAATTAGGAGATTAGAAAGATAAATGGGAGGCTAGCTTAGCAAGGACCTGGGTATAGGTTTTACTACCATCTCCACTTGAGAAATTTACTTTAGCTGCATATCCTGGCTAGAACTCATCATAACAGAATTATTAATGTTAAATTATATCTTCTTTGGTCCTGAAATTGATGAATTAATTACTAAAACTTACATATAGAGAATATAAATTGCTGAGACCATTGCAGGTTGACTGATAGCATTCCTTTTTAAATTACATTTATGCATTTTCCATATTAATGTATTTTGTGTGTGCTTTTTAGTGCTCCCAAGAAGATATTGCTGATAAACTTGGTTTGGATATCTCTGCAACAAAGGCAGTCCACATAAGTAACCCTAAAACAGCTGAGTTTCAGGTAAAATTTTAAGTATGTAAGAATTTGTGTAAGAACTGAGAATTAGTACATTATTTAGAAAAATTCCTTGGTTATTATGCCTCTGGTGGTGAAATCAGAATTTTTTAATAGTCTCTTCTTAGATAAGTTTATAGTTGATTCTTATATGCTTTGCGGATCAAAATTCTTAACATATGTGTATGTGGTGGGATCAAACCCAGGTATTTACACATACTAAATAGATGCTCTACCACAGAGCTACCAGTACCTAAATTTCTTTCTCTCTCTTTATATTTTTACTTTAGCTGCATATCCTGGCTAGAATATATATGTATTTTTTTTTTATTAAGGTTCTGGGGCCTTATGTAAGTCAAGCAAGTCCTTTACCACTGAGCTACATCCCTAACCCTAACACTTCTAATCTTTTGATTATAGTTGTTGCATTTTTTTTTTTTTTTTTTTACAGATCTGGTTCAGTCTCTCTTAACTGAAATTTCCATTTTATAATTGTATACTCTTGTCAGATTTTCATCTCTTTTCCATATATCTGTGATAAATGAATCAACACCAGTTATCTAATACCTCCATAAGTCATTCACTTTGAAATTAGCTATTAAATCAGTTCTTGACTGTGCTGCTTTGTTTTTCATTATAGTTGCCTTATTGGCAGTTTCATTTAGAGTTTAAGAATATTTAAATACTTTAATAGAGAATGTTAAGTGATTTATATTACAGTTTGGGATATTAACTATTAAAAGGGAATTTCAAGGTTATAATGTCTTTGCTTATTAACTTTCAATAGTCCCTATCTCTTTCATATCAAGGCACTCTCACCTCATTTTTCTTTTATATTTTTTTAACCCAGGCTTCTAGAATTAAGTGGAATGTTAGAACAAGAAGGATCTGCTTTTAAGAAAGTTAATGCTATCATAAATAATATATGAACTCTTTGATTTTTAGTTAGTTTCTTTGGACCTTGATTTTCTTTTCCTTTTTTTAAAAATACTTACAGTTGTAGATGAACACAATGCCTTTATTTCATTTTTTTATGTGATGCTGAGGATTGAACCCAGTACCCCATGTGCTAGACAAGCACTCTACCACTGAGCCACAACCTGAGTCTCAGGCTTTAGTTTACATTTATGTTAAAATAGGGCATTGGGTTAGTTTAAAAATTCCACATTTTGGGACTAAGAATATAGCTCAGTTGGTAGAGTACCTACCTTGCATGCACAAGGCCTTTGGTTTAATCCCCAGCACCACAAAAAAAAAAAAAAAAAAAAAAAAAAATTCCCCGTTTTATGTATACAACTACATACTAATGTGGCAGATTAGACTAATATTTGCATAGAATGATTTTTCAGTAAATCTTAAGTACATTTTTATTATTATTCGCTAATTTCAAATGTGAACCCCCCCCCTGCTACACACACACACACTTTTCATTTGTCAGGCATGGTAGATTTCTTGAGATGTGGTAACTGCTATGGTTTTTAGGATTTATATCCTGGCTTATCTATTTTATGTAAGTGGAGGGAAACTAATCATCAGTGTACTGTCTCACTACAAATAGTTGTGGTTTAGCTTAAGAGGCACCATTTTGGTATAGAATACATTAGAGATGATTAGAGATGAGAGATTATCTTTTAGATTTGACAGATACCTATATTTTACCTCTGTTTTTATATTCTACCACTTCTAGTATGGCTAATAGGTTTACATTTATTTATGGTTAAATTAAATGGAAAATTATTCATGGTCTTATACAGAATTTTCCTGCATTATTCTAAACCTTGGATTTATTTCTCATAATAGATGTTGTTAAAAAAATGGACAAGACAAGAAAAATATTATTTAGGTAAAATATGTAAAATTTCATTCTAATCATTGTAAACAAAATTATAAAATATTATTTCTCTTCCCCCCAAATTAATTTGTATCCTTAAATGTCCATTTCATCTTTTTTTTTTTTTTTTTTAGTTTGAGTTGGTATTCAAATGAGGTTTATGCATCAAGATAGATTGATATGCTTCTCAAGTCTTATTCTGCAGGTTGCTCATCTACTTTTTTTTTCTTCCTGAAGCCCGCCCTTTCAATTTGTTGAAGAAACTGGGTCATTTGGCTTGTAGAATTCCCACATTTAGGATTTTGCTGAATATATTCTAGTGGTTCCTGTATTTTCTGTAAACTGGTAGTTAACTCTGGAAGCTTGATTCGATTCAGCTTAACTTTTTTTTTTTTTAAAGAGAAAGAGAGAGAGAATTTTTTTTTAATATTTATTTTTTAGTTTTCGGTGGACACAACATCTTTGTTTGTATGTGGTGCTGAGGATCGAACCTGGGCCGCACGCATGCCAGGCGAGCGCGCTGGTGCTTGAGCCCCAGCCCCAGCTTAATTTTTTTTTGTATTGCTGTTTTTAACTAAGCACATAGGTCTACTATGAAGTAAACTAAAAAAATTAAGGAAAGCTGTCTCAAAAGTTGCTTGTCTAGCTGGGCATGGTGGCAAGTATCTGTAATCCCAGATGTTTGGGAGGCTGAGGTAGGAAGATCATAGGTTCAAGGCCAGCCTAGGCAACTTAAACCCTGTCTCAAAATAAAATGAAAAATAAAAATGGCCAGGGATGTAGCTCAGTGTTATAGTGCTTGCCTAGCATGTGGAAGGCACTAGGTTTGATCCCCGTTCTACAAAAAGAAAAAAAAAAGTTTGTTTACATTCCAATAAATTAAATTTCTTTTTCCTTCACATCGTAGTTCCCCCCCCCCTTACAAATTAGGTACTGTAAGAGATTAACAATAGCTAATAATAAAGTGGAGCAATTGTAATAGTGTACTGAAAATGAAGGTTATGTGTGAATGTATTTTGTTTCTCCCAAATACCTAATTTTACTGTAGATCATAGGCATCTCACCATACTGTATTTTTTTTCTTAAATTAGAACTTTAATCTTTTCATTTAAAGGAAATACTTCACAGCTGTTCTTTACAATATCTGAATTGCCAGCATCACTGTTCTTGCCTTTTGGGGCCACTATTCAATAAAATGAAGGTTTACTTAACATGCATACTGCCATAGGTAACCTGATAACTGAGCTAACTTCCCAGTGCCTGTTGGGCAGAGGGTACTTACAGTGGGTACACTGGACAGGGAGCTGATTGGGAGCCCTCATTATGCTGCTCAGAATGATACTCAGTTTAAAACTTGCGTACTATTGTCAAACCATAGTTGACCACAGTAAACTGAAACTATGGAAAATGAAACTTAGAATAAAGAGGCATACTATAGTTTTATTTCTGTGAATGGTTTGGACACTTTTTCCTCATTGTTAAGGTGTATAGTACTTATAAAAGACCAAGCTGAAGGCTAATCACAGTTTACTGGTAGAATGATTAGAAAAGTGTTCTTTTCTTCCTTCAGCACAGGATCCAGCAAATCCCCTTAGGGCTTTCTGTAACTTGTGTAGAATCTAACAAGCCTACAGTTTTAGCTGGGATATCAGAGGAAACCTCTGTAGGAGAGAACGTTTGAGCAGAGATGTGAAGGAAGTGAGGTAGCCATTTGTCAATCTGGAGGAAGACCACATGAAGCAGAGGAAAGAGCAAGGGCTGAAGCCCCACAATGGGAGACCAGCTTGCTGACCTGTGCAGTACCCAGTGTGGCTGGAGTGCAGTAAGCTAGGAAGAGCAGAAGCAGTTGAGGTTAGGGAGGGAGCCAAGGCCAAATCCTATAGGGCCCCATGTAGGACATGTATTTTTTTTTTTTTTTTTCAAAATTTAATGGAAAACTGTTGATAGTTTTTGAGGGGGGAGTTATATGATTGAATTACGTATCGAAGGACTGTGAAGATTGGACCGTAAGATGGACAGAAATAGCCTTAGAAGCTCATGACATAGTTTTGGGCAAAACAGTGGTGCTTGCCATATGCAGTGGTACTCGCCTATAATCCCAGTGATTCAGGAATGCTGAGGCATTGCAAGTTCAAGGTGAGCCTCAGCAACTTAGCAAGACCCTGAGAAGCTTAGTGAGACCCAGTCTCAAAATAAAAAAATTAAAAGGGTTGGGGATGTGGTTTGGTGGTAAAGTGCCCTGGGGTTCAATCCCCAGTACTCTGTCCCCTACCCCCCAAAAACCAGTTGTGCTTAGTAGGAATATGTAACAACAAATCTTACTGTTACACATAGTATACTACAATAATAAAAAGGGAAGAAAAAAAATAATGTTGCTTAGAGGCTGCTGTAGAGTATAGCAATAATGTCATATCACTGCTCATAAAACCCATCTATTAACATATGTTGAAATAAAGTGAGAAATTTATCTCAGACAAAAGGAGTGAAGTTTTGCTTTTTTTTTTTTTTTTTAAAAGAACTGGGATATACATTTCTTTGACTGGTAAGAATGAAATGACTATAAATATTTTCTTATTTGCTTTAGTGAATAAAGAACGAGAACTACATCACAGCCTGCCCATTGGCAGCTATATAATTTTTTAATGACTACATATTTATATTCTATTTTCCTTCTTGTCCTGGTATTTTAATTGCATGTACGTTTTCCCTGGTCCTGGTTTTTAAAACTTTGATTAATTCATGTTTAATTCACTTAATTATTGGTATTTCTTGTCATCTACTTCATTTACTTCTGAAATGGGGCAGGATATGAAAATTTACATATTTGAAATCTTGAAAGCCAGCTTTCATTTTAAAAATGATAATGGAATAAAATAACCAATCCTTAGGTGAGAACAGTCATATTTTTAGTTAGTCTTGTGTGTCACTTATTTTTTTTAATCAATTTATTATTTTTTGTTTTATAAGTTTGGAATTGAGAATATTTTCAGTTCTTTTAGTTCAGTTCTGGGATTTAAAATTAACTTAAAATTTTAGGCATTGCATTTTTCAGAAGTATGGTCCTCAGAAGCCATGCATTCAGTGCTTTGTCTTTTCTGCCTGTTTGGGTTCTATTTGGTTAGTGCAATTTTGCGTCTTTTCCTGTAGGTGGCACGCACTACCCTTCTTCCTGGCCTCTTAAAGACCATAGCAGCAAATCGGAAGATGCCTCTTCCTCTGAAACTGTTTGAAATCTCTGACATTGTAGTAAAAGATTCTACCAAAGGTAGGAATGAGTCACTTTGACTTGTTACTTTTAAAGCATTTTTTTATTATGAAAATTTCAGTTCTGTGTAAAAGTAGAGAATATGGCATAATTATCCCTGTGAATCTATCATATATCTTGTAACAGTTAACAACCCATCTTTCATCCATATCCTTGCCAATCAACCCATCTTTCATCCATATCCTTGCCAATCACCATATATAATGTGTGTATGTATATATATAAATATATATATATATATATATATATATATATATTTAGTTGCAATGCTGAGGATAAACCCAGAGCCTTGTGCTTCTAGACAAGCACTCTACCACTGAGCTATAGCCCCAGCTATCCCTCACCTTTTGTGTGTGTGTGTCACAGGATCTTGGCTAAGTTGCTGAGACTGGCCTTAAATTTGTGGTCCTCTCGCCTAACCTCCTAAGTTAATAACAGGAGTGTGCCACTGCACCTGGCTTCCACATTATTTTAATGTGAATAATTTCATCATCAAATACTTTAATTCATATTTCTGAAAGATAAGGACCATCACTTTTTTTTGTTTTTTAATAACCCAACAATACTATCACACTTTACGGTCAAATTTCCTAGTGTTTAAATTTTCCCAATTGTTCCATAGATTTATTTTTGAATCAGAATCCTGTCAGTGTCCAAATATTTAGTTACTATGTCTCTTATTTGTTTGAATGGAAAACACATTTTAATAATGTCTATGAAGAGCCCTATTAAAACCTCAACTTGAGAAACACCATGAAGGCTCAGTGGTAGAGGTGCTAAGCACATTCTTACATGTGTGAGACCCCCTGGGTTTAATCCCTAGCACTGCAATAAATAAATGTAAAAAATGAAAAAGAAAAACACTGAAATATTTTTTGTTACATCACATAATTTACATACATATCATTTTAATGTGCTTGATATCATTTTAGTTTAGCAGTAATTGCTCAGTTGTACCAGTGATTTTTTTAGCATGTTTATCATATTTGTCCTTTTTGAGTATGGTTTAGACTTTGAGTATAGCAAGTTTCTTGATCTATCACTTGGAGTAACAGTGGTTATTTAATACACATATCATAAATTTACTAAGTATCTAAACTTGATTGACAAAGAAGTCTGTCTCAAAATCCATGTCTCCAGTCTCTGATGCAAGTCTGACTGGAGCACTGTGCAGTGGTCCCTTGGTGAGTAGTGTCTCAAATGACTGCATTGTTGGCAGATTCCTGGGTTCCCTGAATTTTATACATCAAATTCTAGCAGCATTTATTCAGTGGTTCTTACTCCAAACTCTGCAAGACTCGGAGTGTTTTCTTTTGAATTAGTTGACAGAAGCAAAAACCTTTTTCTCATTTTTTTTTTTTTAAGATTCTAGTAGGCATCATTCTTAACTATCAAGTTCATCTTGGAAACTGATGTTCTGGAGGTATAAACACCTTGATTTTCACATGGAGACTCTCCCTAAAAAACTTTTTTCATCCATCCAAGATTCAATTCTGTCTGTTTTCCAATATTGTTCCATGTAACAAATTGGAAAATTCAAACAAGAAAACTGGTAATTTGCCCAAGGCTTTATAAAATATTGAACTTCGAGATGGGGCCAGAATTTAGGTCTTAGTGGACATATCCTTAGAGAATAAATGTTCGTTTTAATATCAGCTTATGTAAAATTTTCTTTGGGTAATAAATAGATTTGGAAAATATTTTTAGTGCCAGCTGAAGAAAGTTTTGAGGATTCTTGTGACTTAAATTCTCCATTAGTACAGATAGCTGGAAATTTGTTAATAAAATTGCAATGTCACATTTATCTGTTTACTTTGGCTTTTTTTTTTTTTTTCCAACTTAGTTCTTTGAGTTTTATGTTGTCTTGTTCTTTGATGATCTTTTTGTTTATAAATGTAAAATTAGGTTAATTACACCAGATTTCCTCATAAGCTTTGTAATACTCTTTTAGCAATGGTCCTTCCCTAATTGCCAGGCTCCCTAAGGGCTCTGCAGGGCTGGGCATGTTCACAACCAGGAAGCTCAGAGTGAAGATGAGGGCAAGGAGCAAGCTGGGGTCCCACAGTTGCTTTGAAGAAGGTTTGGGTGTAAGCTTCACTGTGTTGCCATTCTGTGTAGAAATGCCTTAGTTGTTTTTCTTTTAATCTCTGTGTTGGAAATACACAGGTATAGACCTCTCTGCTTCTCATTCTGGCTTCAGTGCCCAAATTTTGAGAAACTCCCCTGAAGAGACATTGGTCACAAGTGCTAGAGCTGTCTCTCATTTTTTTTTTTTTTTTAAACAATTCACCTAGTGATTACCCCCAAAACCCAGTTCTTATTATTTTTATTTGAAAGATTTGCACTTTTTTTATTTGTTGTAATCTGTTCCACCTGGAGAATAGTTCTTGTCTTGTTTGTTCCTTTTTTTAGTTGAAATTATTCTGTTCTATTTTCCACATTGATTTAATTTCTGATTCTAGTTTTGCCCATTGTCACACACTGGTTTATTCTTTTTCTTTAATGTTTTCTATCTTATCGATAGGATTTGAAAAATGAAGGGAGGTAAATGCACTCAGTAAATCTACCATCTTGAAAACATTGGTTTAATGTATTTGGAGTATGTTTTGTGTTTAGGTGGGCCTGGATTTTATTTCATAACAAAAGAAGCCTTTCTGATGGAATATTCTAAATATGTACATGTGGGTTCCTGCCTGTCATATGGTGTACATAGAGGACTCTGTAGGAGAGGCAACACGGCATCACGGTTCTGCAGACACTATAGCCACAGTGCCTGGCATTTCAGTCATGGTTCTCATTTACCAGCCGCTTCTCTTTAGGCAGTTTATTTAATCTCCTGTGGCTCAGTTTCTTCACCTGTACAATGGGGATAATGATAACACTTACTTTGTTAAAAAGGATTAAGTGAAATTAACATTTGGAAAGTTCCAGCTACAAAGTATGCAATATTTAGTGTTGCTCTAATTAGGGTTTTAATAGTCCTGATGGCCAAATAACCAGCTTCCTGATCTTTGGGAATTTTCTAGAATGGGTAAAAAAGCCTCAGCTATCTCCAAAAGGTTAATGTTGCCTAGCTGAGGCATTGGGGGCAGATTTTTATCTTAACCTTAGACTTAATTGGTTTTTCTTCTGTCATGTTCTTTTCTTTGTAGGATGAGAAACAAAGACATACTAATATAGGAATTTACTTAAGAAAACAGGAATGTTATTTTTGAAGGAATTTGTTACCTCCTATTTTTCAATGAATTGACACGCACGTTTTTACTGCCTATCAAATCAGTAACCTCTTATCTGTTGAGTTTACCTTAGCCATCTCATCCTAAATAATTAAATTTTTTGAAGAAAAGGTTCTAATTAATCAAAAGTTAAAAGAGGAGTTTTCCAATTAACACAAAAATGTCCCCAAAATCTTAATGATGGAAGTAGTTCCCTAAACTATAGGTTCAAAGGGGTTGGAGATGTTTGGCAATTATGAGCTACTCTCATCCAGCACATTAGTAGAAAGTATTTTTGAGTTCTTTTTCATTTTTAGGGGTTGCTTTAGAGGATAAGAGAAAGCTTCCAGTCTTGAAGGAGACAGATTTGTGAGTAGATTCTTTGAGTTCATAATCAGAGAGAATGTCCAAAGTGCCCTGGGAATGCAGAGAAGGGAGTGATAATGGTTATTGACTTTTTTCAAAATGTTAAGAAAAACCAACACTTCCAGCCTCATATCAATTTCAGGTCAGCAAGCATATCTTCCAAAATAGAATGAAAATGGAATCTACTGGATTTCAACATGACTCACACCATTCTATCTGACCTGCATTTCTGTAGGAACGGCTACTAGCTCCTAGACATAACTGGACATTTCTTATTCTAGTGTGGACTCTCTTGACTGACCATCCATGTTGAGTGAGACTGTCAGTCTGCCAATTTAGAGGCTGATTCAGGCATACTTTACACTCAGTAAATCTTCTCTAAACCAGATAGGTTCAGGTTCTTTGAGGGTGAGCCAGTTACTGCACTTACTGAGTTTCAAGATCTGAAGTTGCTGCAACATTTTTAAAAAATAGTCATGATTCAAGGGAGTAAGCTGATTTATCCCTGTGGTTGGTCAAAGTGGTATGTGATTTGGGAACTAGAGGTTGAATGTTGATTCTGCCTGGGGTAAATTTTTCAGCTTTATTACAGGGAATTCAGCAGAGGAGCATTGAAGCTGCCATATCAGGCTGCTGTGTGAGTTAATGGTTGGTTTCAGTAGATGATACTTTTGTTCTTTTTGTTCAGTGTCAAGAATAACTAAACTATGCACTGAATAGTAAGAATTAACTGTAGGAGGGCAAAGAACCTAAATGTGAATTGCTGATCTTTTTGCTCAGACAAACAGCAAAGCAAATATATTTTGTACAATCCAATATTCTGGCTTTAACATAGACTGAATTCTGTAATCACAATTTATTCCTCAGTGATCTCTGAAGCTGCCAGTATGCCTACAATCTCACTGAAATGGCAAGATACGACATATCACTGGGTTGAGGGAGTTTTAGTTGAAAAGGAGAAAGAACCTAAGATGAATTATTTTGGCTTTGTAAAGTGTAGAGGAAGGTAATTTAGATAAGCAGGATACAAATATCCAGTTGTCTTTTTCTTTGTCCTGGGGATTGAACCCAGGGCGCTTGACCACTGAGTCACGTCCCCAGCCCTTTTTTTTCCTGTGTTATGTCCCTATAGAGAACCTTCATCATCATATTGCCATGCATTTCAACTGCATTTAAAATTCTTTGGATTTTAGTAGATGTTATAGTAAATGGAATAGATTGAAAGGCCTTTGACCACTGATAGGGCTGTAGTAATGAAGTAGGCTTACTCTGTGCCTTCACTTCTTGCTCAGAACACTTCTATATTCTCCAGAGCATGTTAGCAGTCCTGGTTTAAACTGTGCTTTCCCACCCATCACTGTCTAGTTTCTAAAATCACACATTTCTTTCTGAAGTCTTTCTAAATGAGAGGTTGATCTA